AGATAAGAAGGATTGTCAGCGTGGCTTGACACTTTCGTAAGACCGACTACGCGGGTCCAGACTGTGGGAGTCTGGACCGGAATGGGAAGAGAGATCTCCATATACGGGGTAACCCAGAGGACGTTATACTTCGTGTACTCCGTACATAGACCGTCGACTACGGATCTACAGTGCCTACATGAATACAAGACCTAATCTTGATGATACCGTAGGTAGGTAAGGTAGAGGTACCGCAGCCCGTATTGTACTGTACTGTACGGCGCAGCTCCCCGGACAGGGTTTCCAAATTACCATAATTACCACCTTACCGTACCGACTTCTCTCCGCCGTAGTGCTCCATGACTCCCGCACTCAGTAATCAGCAATCTACCTGGTATCCACGTTGGAATCCTTCACCAGAACCATCGCCTCGCGCCAATTATACATCCTGGGTTCAAATTCCGTTCTTCCCAGTCAGTATCAGACATCCTGGCAAGTTTTGATCAACATTTGAGCATCGATTGTGGATCTTTTCATAACGGATACTCTGGAAAGGGAAGGAATCGTCGCTCGTATGCAAGCCCAGCCCTTGGAAGATCATCCATACGCCCCAATTGTATACGACCGTCCTATTCGACTTCCATCTCCCTCCTCCTTGTCCTTCTCCTCCACTTGACGGCCTTCTCACCATGAGCACTAACTGTATAAAGTTGTTTAGTACTGTGCCACAGTACGTCGCCTGTCGCAAGTCTCCCATCCTTTCGAAACCTTACTTACCCCGTCATCCCATCAATGAAAGGCATCCTCCTGCATCGACTGTAGTCTGTGATGCAGGATAGACACCGAGTCTGGCGCCGTTGTGTCATCTTGCTGCTGATCCCCTGCGGAATGGTGTGACAATGGGCGATAATCTTTGATGACAGAGACGTGATGGCCCGCCCGATGCACTGAGGCGAAACTACTACACGTACGTCTTGCCTCCCTCGCGGCTTCGCCTAGATGGATATTGATTAAGTGCATCGGGGGTTAACGTCATCGCAGCCCAATTTTTTCGCGCGCTCTCTTTTTTTCTCCTCTTACTCCTCAGTCCGAACCCAAGAACCTGGTCGTTGGTTCTGACAGCCGCTGCTCTAAGCTGCAGACGGGAGGAATCATGTGTAGGATCGGAGGGCTCGTTCTCCGTTCAAGTCCTGGCGTTTCTTGGTGATCTCTCCCCCTTCTCATTTGTGCTTCCTTGCCCCCCTACCAAATGGTTGCTTTTCTTAGTGGTTTTATTATTCTTTCTCTTCCTCTTTCGAGATAAAAAAATTTCTAAAAAAGTTACTAACTTAATCAATTCCCAAAATGATTGTCGAAAAGTCTCACGGTCTCAGCCTTAGCATGTTCAATGCACGCCGAGTTTCCAAAGGCCAAAAAGTCACCAAAAAAATTAAAATAAAATAAAATAGAAAAGCAAAAAACCGTCTGTTCACGCAAGAAGATACGTGATCAACTGGATGTATGAGGAGATGTGCTGATTCGAAGCTGGCTGGGCGATCAACGGTGTGAAGGTTAGTCAAGTCGACTAAACTGCTACTACGCCAACTAGTCGACCGAACATCTCACTAGTCGGATGGTGGTCAATTCCCCGACAGTCCAGCCCAGCCTTGTTCCCGATCAAATTGCTGGCCTGTCACCTGTTGGGTCTTCAAACGCCGGGAAATGGGATCCTCCAGCCTTGACTCGCTTGTCTCTCCCCCCTTTGCTCCGCTTCGTTTATTAATCTACCTTTCCTTATTTAGCTTTTGTCTTCTTTCCCCTATCACTATTATTTCGGCCCTTATCATTAACCTTTGCTAGGGTGTAGCCGCAGTATCTCCCACGAAACAGCGTTGCGAGCGACACTACCTCAGAACCCCGCGTTCTTGAGAGGGGTGGGAAAAATAAGGGGGAGGGCCGAGTCCTGATTTCCCTTTCCTAGTTCCTACCTACTGCACGCAGCAAAGGACTGGACGGAAGGGGGGAGATTGATTGCCGCAGCAGCCATTATCGGACTAAATCTGCTCCTGCGTGAGATCCTATGCAGCCTAGGACTAATTCTCGCCGCTCTTGCTCCTATTATTGGGCATACAGATGACTCGCAGCGTCTCCCGTGGGCCGACGGAGTAAACTAATCTTTCGATCGAGTGTGCGCATCGCTGGTCGATGTTGGACGTGGAGAAGACAAGTTACTTTGCCGCGGTATCGCCAATGATCATATTCATAGACTTCTCCGCTCGAAAGAACCGACGATTGGCCATTCATCGTGCATAGAACCGAGGTGAATTCTGAAACTAAGCAATGGAGGGCGTCGTTTCTTTGCGGATGATGCTAGACATACATGCGCTCGATGCGCCGCTCGATAGGTGGCCAGCACAGAGAAAAATCTCCGATTCGCAGGTTTCGCATGCATCAAATCAGCTTTTTTCTCTCTTTTTAATTTCATTTAAATCCTTTTTGCCCCCTTTCGGCCCTCGATCCATGACACAACATAGGAGTCGCCCAAACGGCTTGGCTCGGAGCTGTGAAGGAGGGGAATTAATTAGATCCCCGGTCGAATCAGGCGAAAAATGATGCATGAGGGCTGAAAAGAACACATGAAAATGAATGGGCTGATCAGGTAGCCAAGCGCGTCGCCGAAAAAGCCACCTCTCTAAGGCTGGTAAAAAGCATGATCAGTCCGGTCTACATACGGCTGGTACGGCTCGATTACCACGGTTTAGTCTATTCTCTAGTAATCCGGGCCTCAGGTCGATTCCCCCCGGTTCCCAAGTGTCGGTGAGCACCTTTGTCTGAAGCCATATACTTCTCCACGGTGACAATTGTTTAGTGCGGGAATATCTTCGCTCCCACAGTAGTATGCATTCCACGCATAGTCATGCCTTGTTTTTTTTATATTAAAGTTGTCTCTCGTATTCCCTATTTTCTTACAGTGTTTTATTTACTTTCATTTATTTCATTCTTTTCTTTACTTGGGAAGGAAGATCTCGCCTGTTTTTGGCCCTCTTGCGGATGTCACGGGAATCACCAGGAAAAACAATTACCACGACCCAAGAATGCAATGAGGCTCCGTACGAGACAGTCGATGTGTCGAGAGGAGTCATCGATCCCATCCAGAGTCTAGTTTACTCGGCTATCTCCTAAGAGTTTGAGTTGGATCATTTTCCTTCTTGGTACTCGCGCCAAAATAATAATAGAAAAAAAGGGCTGCCCGTTGTTGGTGGCTGCTTCTCTACGGCAAAGAGAACCAGAGGTGATTGAGAGCAGCATCTAATATAACCCAAATGGCAAATAGTCAACCGGTCTTGATAGGGTTTTGAAATGCTGACATGAAATCCTTCGGGGTGGCTGTGTCGCCTTATTTGCCTTTCAATTCACAACGCTGCTCGCCTCCTTCCGTGCTGACAATTATGGAGATAACTCGGAAGAGGCGTCAATCAATATCGATGCATACAGAACGGACTCGAAGGCCTGGTGTTCCTTTTTGGCCCTTTTTCGGGCTTCTCTACAGGCCGTGTTTCACTGCTGGTCCGGTCAGCCATCAGAGGGATCCAAATACGTTTCCAGAGCCCTACCTGGTTCGGTCTTGGTCCTTGGTCGTGGAGGATTCCTAATCTTTCTCACTGGTCGTGTTGATCCCGATAGAAGGGCGTCTTTCAAAGCGATTCGCCCGAATGTTCTGCTGGGAAAGCTCTCGTCTGGCCCCGATGGGCTGGCTGGAAGTCTCTGCCTTCAGGACTTCAGTTACGGCTTGCTACTTTGTGATGTATGTATGGAAAAGGCTGAGAAACCCCTTCTACTCTTTGTGTCAAACCGACGAGTGATTCATAACCGGTGCATGGACAACGCCACTCTGATTGACGTCGATTTAACTTCGACCATCCTATCGTATGATTCGGGGGAGAAATTGCATGCCAGCGCCATTTTCAGCTGACGCCCACCTCGCTGTGTAGATGCATGCGTACAGCACCGCTTCTTCTCTCTCGCGCGCCATCTAGGAAGCGCTGAATCGAATAAATCAGGGACTACGTACGTTACGCGATCGAAAATTCGTTCACGAGGGGTCCTCATGACGTAGACAAATCGATGATCGGAGATTGAATCCATGATCTGTGATCACCGGGGACACTATTCATTCGCAAGGATGATAGCCAGGATAATCATCAACAGATAATTGCTCATCTTCTAAGCGAGCCTCACTATCCGGCTTTCCCAACAACCTCCGCTGCACGGGAAAGCGCCCACCAACTCATTCTTGTCCAGTCCAGATAACTTTCCCCTCCCACATGGTTGGTGCTGGCTTGGCTAGGCCGAAGTGATACGAGCCATTCATCCTGGGCTGCATTTCGATCTACCTACCCCGTGAACCCGCCTATGCCATCAACTAGCTATCACTCCGTACTCCGTATCAAGGGGGCCAAGGTCTGTTTCCCCATGTGGCTAACAAGGCGCTAGTGGAGATTCGCTTTTTTGCGGGGTTGATTCCTTAGGCGCCGGGCTGGACGCACCTTACAAATTGCCAACGCGCCGCCGACTAGGGAGGGATAAATCAAGGAGCGTTAGGTTCTAAGGAAGCTCTAGGAGGATGATATGGCCAATGCCGTCAGCTTCACCATGCCGGACTGTTGAGTAAGTAGACCGGCCACGTTTTGACCTCGTATTGAGTCAGGAGTCCAGGAAGCGAGACGGTTAGTTTGGCCAAGGCTAGATAAAATGTATGAAAAGGGGTGTCTCGCATTGAATCTTACGGAGAAGAGCTACTTGAAAAGCATCTTCTTCCTTATACTCCCCACTCCGTCTAAACAGATTGCCGTTTTGGGTCGTCACGGTACGCCTGCCTCTTTGGGTCGTCACATGGCTTCCTTCCTGAGGCATCCACGGTTCCTTCGGGGGCCCCATTGGGGTGGGCGGGCCAATCAACTCGCCGCCCTGAATTCCTTCACTCGCGGCGTCGATTTGCTTCTCTGCCTTCGATGGACCTCATTCGCACTCAATCTATCGCCATGACGAACCAGACCTTCATCCTGGTCACTGGTGCAAACAGGTACAGTCTCCGTCCCTGAGTAGCCTCCAATCTCCTTGCCTTTCGTCTGACTAATCGCTCGGTTCTTCGCGCGCAATACAGTGGCCTCGGTTTTTCTATCTGCTGTCGCGCAGTGGACGAGTTCCTGAGCTCTACCACTCACGGGTCGTTGACCGTCATCTTCACAACCCGGAGCACCAAGAAGGGAAATGACACTCTCCGCCTTCTGCAAGACTACCTGCGCACCTCGGCCAATGCCTCCGCCGCGGCCCGAGTGACTTTCATCCCCGAGAATGTCGACCTGTCCAACCTCGTCTCTGTGCGAGCTCTCTCCCGCCGACTGACTCAGACCTTCCCCAAGCTCGATGCCATCCTGCTGAACGCCGGCATAGGTGGCTGGACGGGCCTTGACTGGCCGCGAGCCGTCTGGGGGATCTGCACCGACCTGGTCCACGCCGCCACCTGGCCGGCATACAAACTTGCGTCGGCCGGCGTCGTGACCGATCCTCAGACCCCGCGCGCCGACCAAGAGCCTCGCTTGGGCAATGTATTCTGCGCCAACGTCTTCGGTCACTACATGCTCGCCCACAACGTCATGCCTCTGCTGCGACGCCCCGGTCACTCCGGTCGCATCATCTGGGTCTCGAGTATCGAAGCCACAGTGAAGTTGTTCAACCCGGAGGACCTCCAAGGCCTCCGCACCACTACTCCCTACGAATCCTCCAAGGCCCTGACCGACATCCTCGCCCTCACGTCCGACCTCCCCAGCGTCGCGCCCTGGGTCCGCAGCTTCCACTCGATCGACGACGCCAACAAGAAGAACTCCCCCGAATCCGCCTCCGATGCTCCCCCGCCAACCACCTACGTCTCCCACCCTGGCATCTGCGGCACCGCCATCGTCCCTCTCGCGCTCCCGCTCTTCTACCTCATGCTCGCCGCCTTCTGGCTCGCCCGTCTCCTCGGCTCTCCCTGGCATACTCTGTCTACGTACATGGGCGCTTGCTCTCCCGTCTGGCTAGCCCTGGCGCCGCAATCGGCCCTCGACGACGTGGAATCGGCATACCGACAGCACGGCGGCGGACGCGTGAAATGGGGCTCTTCCTGCGGCCTCTGGGGCGCCGCGTCCTCTGTCCCAACCGAGGTTGACGGATGGGGGTACGGCGGCGTCGTGGGACGCGCCGTGGTCGAGGAGGATCGCCAGCGTCGACGCAAGCGCGGCGCGACGGACCTCACCAAGGAACAAAAGGAGCGGTTCGAGGAGCTAGGACGGTCGTGCTGGCGGCAGATGGAGGAGTTGCGGATCCACTGGGACGGTATCTTGGATGAGGCCGAGAAGGTGGATGAGTCCTAGCTAGATGGGAAACGGCCCTTTCCTATCTTGGACAATCTTCCTTTGTTTTCGTCTTCCCGGGACTATCTGTATTCTTTCTTCTATATTCATATCTATTTTTAATCCTTACTTTGTCACATAGACGGTTGATCTACACAATATGATTTCAATTCGACTCGGGAGTACGTCTTCGCGAAAATAGAGCAGGTGAAAGCAATAATGATCAATGTAATTGGAACATGGACTTAATTCTCTTTCCTTAATTCTTGTATTAATTCAATTCTGAGTTCTGCCTCCCATATTTACATTCCTTAAAGAACCCCGTTTGTCCCACATACATCATTAAAATTGGATAGTGTATTAGAACCCATTTACTCACCAATCCCCGGGTAAGCAGACGCAGAGTAATGAATAGAAAAGATATCGCGACGAGGAAGAATAAGAAAAAGAAAAAAGGAAAAAAAAAATATTGGGAGAAGGAAGAAAAGATTGAGGCGAGATGGTAAATCAAAACAGAAGAGTATTACTGAAAAAAATTGGAAAAAGTCGCATCGGACGCACGTCACACCGTCAAGGTTCTGAGTGCGGAGATGGTGACAGACCCATATATGAGACTAAAGGGGGTTTTATGCAAGAAAGAGGCGGAAAGGTAGGTAAGTAGGTAGGTAGATAGGAAGACGTGCTTTCAGGAGGGGTAAAGGGGAAAGGGGAAAGTAACGGACGTTATGCTCTTGACCGATGAACCGGGCAAGCGCAAGACTGCCTGAATCAACTGCATCAAGGCAAACTCAAAAGATGTAACGACTCCGGCTCTATGCATCTGGGCGATTTCGAGGTAAAGGTGATTCAAATCAAGATATTCGAGGACATGTCGACGTAAAGGGAAGGAAAAGAGAACGGGAGATTACATGATGATCGCAGGAACTAGCGCAGAACTGTTAGTATCATGGATGGAGGATTGAGTGAGCATAACCAAGAAAACTCACCATCAACGTTCTGTTTGATGCTCTTGTGCGGCAAGATAGAACCACCGTTCACGTAGACTTCATCGGCAATGGTCACGTCGTCACCCAGAACGGTAACGTTCTCCAGGCGAGCCCACTTGCCCACCGAGCTGTTCCATCCGACAATGGTCGACTTCACCCACGCGTGGTCCTTGACCTTGCTGTTCTCCAACAGGACGCATCGTTGCAGACGAGCACCGTCGCCGACGACGACGTTAGGTCCGATGACGACGTTGGGCCCGATGCGGCAGTTCTTGCCAATCTTTGCGCTGGGGTCGACCATGACGTTTCCGCCATACACGTAGGGCTCGTTGTTGGGGGCGAGCAGTTTGGAGTTGCGCTTTGCGAGCGAGGTGAGGTACAGGCAGGTGCCGCTGAGGAAATCCTTGGGCTGACCGACATCCATCCAGAACCCTTCCAGATCAAACGAATGGAGCTGGCCCTCCTTGCAGATGGCGGGGAACGTCTCCTGTTCGATCGAGGTGGGACGCAGCTCAATACGGTTTAGCACGCTGGGGTTGAGAATATAGATACCGGCATTGATACGGTTGCCGACGAACTCGACAGGCTTTTCGACGAAACGGTCGATGCGCGACGCGTGGTTGGGCTTGTGGACGACGACACCGTATTTCGAGGGCTCGTCAACCTTGGTCACGACGATGGTACCTTCGTCGCCGTGGTTCTTGTGGAACTCGGCCAGCTCCTTGAACGGGTAATCGCAAATGACATCGGAGTTCAGGACGAAGAAGGGGGAGTCGTCCTTGCCCAGGATCTTCTCCGCCAACTTCAGGGGACCGGCCGTGCCCAGCGGCTCGGACTCGACGGAGAACTCGATGCGGACGTTGTATTGTTCCTCATACTAGCGCAACAATAAGCAAACCGGATCTTTCAATTCACGAGAGAATATCACGCGTACCTTTTTCAGGGCAGAGACCATCACATCGGGGCGGTAGTTGACGGCCAGAACAATATCGGTGACACCAGCAGCAGCCAAGCTCTCGACCTGGTGCAAGATCATGGGACGGTTGCCGAATTCCACGAGAGGCTTGGGTAGCGTCAACGTCTATGACAGCGGCCGCATAGATTAGCAGAGATTCTTTCGAGAAGCGGCTGGTATGCTCCGACGTCACGATCGTCGGCGGCGGCGGCGGGGGAGGGATGAGGGGGGAAGCATTGGCTTACCAAAGGACGCAACCGGGTACCGAAACCTCCGACAAGAATAAGAGCTAGAGAAACGTTAGTTAAAGGGGGGGGGAAACAATCGGAGGGGGACTAGTCGAGTCCAACAGGGAGCACGTACCCTTCATATTGAGGGTGGGATGAACGAGTGAATTTAGGAGAGGGGAGTATAAAAGGAGAAGGAAAAGGAAGGACTTGGATGAAGATAAAAAGGCGATTGATTAGAAGTTGACAGAGGGAAGGGGGAAGCAATCAATCAATCGATCGGGAGATGGCCGGATTGACAGATCGGAAGCTCTCAGGGAGGGAAAAGGAGAGAGAAGGAGAAGGAGGAGGAAGAGAGGAGCGGAATAAAAGAGGAACCAGAAATGAACAATAGAACACCTGGCGTTGGATGTATTGGAGTGTACGAAAGTGTACCGCCGTACCGTCTGTTTGCGGCGAGGGGGGAGGGAAGTTGGGGCAGGGGAAGACGGTAACGATACGGTACGCAAACCAGGCCACCAGGCAACATCCGGTCAGGTGCTCTCCTTAGTCGGGCCCGGTTTCAGTATTGCCCCCCATGCCTCAGCCCTCAGGCAAGCTTTCTTCCTGCAATTTCCCACCCCTTTTTCTCCTGCTTCTCTTGTTCCACTCCATACTTAGAGGTAAAACAAGCGGAACAAAGAAAACAAGGTTACATCCTGACGGAGTATGTACGCCCTACTCCAGACGGCGTCAATCATATGACCCGACATGTCCCCTACCTACGGAGTACAAAGTACATACAGTCCTACGGTGTACACTGAATGGTCCGTTGGTCAAGGTGGCTGAGAGCCAATGTCTCTCTTGTTCGGGTCCCTCAGGCCGCGTCGTCCTGTCGGGGTTTCTATTTATAAGATCACCACTCACAGTCACTGCTCGGGCGTATCTGGAGGCAGAATCGTGGGATGAGGATTTTTCGCCGGAATCTCCATCGACCCACGTTGTTTTGGCCCCCTGGTGCCACCGCCTGCTGCTTCCGGTGCCGGGTCCACAAAATGGCGGATCCACTGACGGACGTTGCTCACCTTCGCCAGCGGCAGATCTTCTGGCTCCTTCGGGCGCTTCTGCTGAACATCACGCAGCTTCCTGCCGCTGTACACTCCCCCCGCGTCCGTTACGTCGACCCGCTGGCGGTGCAGCAATTCCACCCGCGTGACTCCATTCTTCAGACTCTGCCCGTACACCCGTTCCCGGAATGTACTCAGTCCCACCGTGCGCAAGAGAACGATGTCCCGTGGTCGCAGACTTGCCAGGCTGCGTCCCAGTTCGCTCTCCTCGTCGCCGCCTCGATTCGTGCGAGGAAGCCAAAATGTAACACCAAACCCGCTGCGCGTGTTATCGCCCACCACGACCTCGATCAGGTCCAGCTCTCGTTTCCATTGTCGCGTCAGGATGCGGCGCGGCGGCCGAATGGTAATGATGCCCACGATCAGATTCACCGTCATCGTCTGAGGCACAATGGCATTGAGGTATGCGGCGCTAGGAATATCGCGCAGGTCCGTGATATGTCCCGAGATCGAAAGACCCGGTTGGAGGCTTTCTTCTTCCCAGCTTGGCGCGATCGAAGTGTTCGTGCTGTCCGCCCATACGCCGCTCTCTTTCGTCGAGTCGTCCCCGGAGGTGCCGGGCGCAGATATCTCCGACGTCTCATGGATGGCAAAAGAGTGGTTGTAGAATTTGGAGAGTGTCGAATCGTCGGGTGTCGTAGATATTCCGCCAGGAGTAACCAGCTCGTCGATGGTAAAGAACCGTGCGCCTCCCGTAGGATCAGTTTCGTTCTGATCTGGATACGTCTCTAGCAAAGCCGAATCCTGCAGCAGTCTCCATTTCACAGTGTAGTATTCTGCAAAGGACTTGGCTCCTTCGTTGCCAACACCCGAGCCGTCGAATGGGTATATGGGTGCATTGAGTAGCTCATGTTCATCCCAATGAAGACTCCGTACGGTGGGAGCTCCCATAAGAAGAATGACCTTTCGGGACATCTCGGACTAGAGCTCGAACGACAGAAGCCATGAAGTATGCCCCGAGGTCAAAGTTGCTGAACCTATCACGACAAGGTTCAGGACGAGGGTCAAACAGGTAGCTGCGCTCTTGCTTGAAGTGAATGAAGACCCGCTTCCTTCTCCAAGTGCTGGTGACCGAACTGGCCAATAACAAACTCTGCAAATTTGCGCAAAGTAACATATATATAGAGAGAGAGTGTGTGTGAGTGTTGAAAACCTAGTGAAAAGGAAGATACCGGTGTATCACAACATGCGCGGTAGGTGATGTGTTATGCGAAAAATGAGAAGGTTTCTTATTGTCAATGATGACCTTCTCATCGGTGGCCGAATCGAACCACGGGTTGCCGAGCCTGCCTTTCCATTGTATTGTGTAATACGTAGATATTCATCACCAATATGATCAAGGCAGTTCCTGTTGCCTCTGCGATCTCCCGGAGAGGAGATATTGTCGAACTCCACCTCGAGGGGAATGGTTTACAGATAATGGAAAGCTTTGGCGATGGAAGATGCCGATGGAAGCAAATGGACGGGCTGCTGCCTGGGGCATAAATACACGTGACCTGTCTGTCCGGCGGGGCGGACGAGCCACAGTGGCAAGTCCGCCGCCAATGAATTCGCCGCCGCATTATTGAATCCCGCCGAGGCACCTCCATCTCACTTTCGCTCCGCACCCTGATCGCTATCATTCAGTGATGGCATTTTCTTTCCTTGAGGATTAATTTCACGTTTCCTCGATCCCAACTTTCACACGACCTATCCAGGGATAGAACTTCCTGTTGTCGCGGCCAAGTGCCGCCTTACGTCGGTCAACCATGGCCTTTCAAGTTCCGATCCCCAAGCCCGTAAGAACCCTTGGCCTTATGATCTGGAGCGTTCGACCTCTCTAACCTATATAATCCCGTGCAGAATATCGCGGCAGTGACATCCGATATCTGGCCTTCCATGTCGAAGCTCCTGAATGCGCCTTGGAAGAATGTCGAGCGCGGCCCTTCTCCCGGATCTACCGCTTCCCAGCGCACGGTTGGGGAAGCGAGTTCAACAGTACGTTTTGTGTCATGCATGGATGAGGATTGTTCCGTTGGGTTGTTAACGATCTGTTTAGAAAGCCGGGTCTGTCGTGCTGCCGGAGTTCCTGCACACGGTGCCCTCGATGGCTTTGAGAGCGGACGCCATACGCCAGCCTGCGTCATCGGGATGGTCCCGTTCCTTGTTCAATGGTAATCATAATCCGAGATGTTGAGGGAAACATTTATACTGACTCATGATTCTTTAAAGAACGTTCGCTTTGGTCCTCACCCTCCCTTGCCTCCCGGGTCTTCTCTCCGTCGTCTTCTCGTTCTTATTCCACGTCTCTGAACCGACTTCGCCACGTCCCCCACCCCCTCGGTCTTTCCAAGTTGCAGCATCAGCGGTTTCTCTTCGGCGGTCCCTCTCACGGTATCTTAGCACAGAAAGAGAAAACCGCTAACAATAACCCACAAAACGTCAATGCCCAGAATTCCTTCTATCAGGACCTCCTTCGCGCCAATATGCCCGCGATTATAGTCGAGCGGTACAGGAGTGGACAATTCGCCAGCAACGAACTTTCGGAATCGATCTATTTCAAGGCCTTGAACCTTGTTGGAGGAACTAGTCCCGCAGCAATGGCTCCCGGGTCTAATCCGAATGTGAACATGGAACAACTCCAGGCTATTGGCCAGGCAGTTGCGGCTCAGAAACATGGTGGTCAAGTGGGATTATCAACAAAGCATGACAGCACTGGCGCGAAAGAAGCTCCTTTGTATGTTGTTGTGGAAGAGTCGCGTGGAAGCACCATCTTCCGATGGGCTAAATTCCTGGTGTCCTTCGCATTCTTCGTCTACATGTCCCTTGTGCTTGTTACTGTCTTGGTGGAAACCACGGGCGTTTTGAAGAACATCCGAGGCTCTCAGAGCAACGAGGCCCAACCGCAGCATCAGAATGTTCGCTTCAGTGATGTGCATGGCTGCGATGAAGCCAAGGATGAGCTTCAGGAGCTCGTTGAGTTTTTGCTGAACCCGGATCGGTTTTCTTCGCTCGGTGGCAAGCTGCCTAAAGGTGTCCTGCTTGTTGGGCCACCCGGTACTGGAAAGACCCTTCTTGCTCGTGCTGTTGCGGGTGAAGCCGGTGTCCCTTTCTTCTACATGTCTGGATCTGAATTCGACGAGGTGTACGTGGGTGTTGGTGCCAAGCGTGTCCGTGAGTTGTTCGCTCAGGCTCGAGGCAAGTCACCCGCGATCATCTTCATCGATGAGCTGGATGCGATAGGCGCCAAGAGAAATGAGAAGGATGCCTCGTACGTGAAGCAAACTTTAAACCAGTTACTCACCGAACTCGATGGGTTCTCGCAGTCAACCGGAGTGATCATTCTTGCTGCGACCAACTACCCACAACTGCTGGATAAGGCACTGACTCGACCTGGACGTTTCGACCGGAAGGTGACCGTCGGCCTCCCCGATGTCCGGGGTCGGATGGATATCCTCAAGCACCAAATGAAGGACGTCCAGACCAGCACTGATGTGGATCTCGCAGTGATTGCGCGTGGCACTCCCGGTTTCTCCGGCGCCGACTTGGAAAACCTGGTCAACCAGGCCGCCATCTACGCCAGCAGAAACAAGCAGGACAAGGTGATCGCCAAGGATTTTGATTGGGCTAAAGACAAGATCATGATGGGAGCAGAGTCTCGTAGCAGATTCATCCAGGACAAGGACAAGCTTCTGACCGCCTACCACGAAGCTGGTCACGCCCTGGTTGCTTATTTCTCTCCGTCCTCTACACCGCTGTACAAAATCACCATCGTGCCCCGCGGAATGGCGCTGGGTGTGACGCACTTCCTGCCCGAGATGGACATGGTCTCTCGGAACTATACCGAGTACTTGTCCGATATCGACGTTTCCATGGGTGGTAAGGCCGCTGAAGAGCTCATTTTCGGACACGACAAGGTTACGAGCGGCATCTCAGCTGTAAGCTTGTTTTCCCCCCACCCAATCCATCACCAGATCGCTGTTTGCTGACCCAACTTTCAAATAGGATATCCAACAAGCCACTGAGACGGCTTTCACCTTGGTCACTCGATTCGGATACTCCAAGAAGCTCGGAAACGTCGATCTCTCCACCAATTACAACTCGTTGTCGTCTGAGACCAAACAGGAGATCGAAGGTGAAGTCCGGCGTTTAGTTGAGGAGGCCAGAGTGCGCGCCCAGAACATCCTGACCGAAAAGCGAAACGAATTGGAACTCTTGACGAAAGCCTTGATTGAATACGAGACTCTCACCAAGGAAGAAATGGAGAAAGTCTTAAAGGGAGAGAAACTCGACAAGCTGGAACCACCACCTGCGTCGTCGCCGCCTCTTAAATTGCCCGAGGCTCTGCAGGCGGCACGGTTGAGCAAATCCGATAAAGAACCCCCGACAGCTGCCGAATAAGGCCAATCTCTTTTCTTTTTCCTGATGACATTTCAATCTCTCCCCTATTCATAATCCTCTTTCGATCCTGGTTGTTGTTTTCTTTTGGGCTGACCTCCATTGGGCGTCTCGAGGATCGGCATTGTACTTGTCACACCTTTGATTGCAACCCTTGGAGGTTCTTGTTCCTCTTCCGATTTCCCCTTCTCTTTGCTCTTTACATTGTACTCGGTGTTGCGCCTTCGTCTGCATACTCTGCTTCTCTTTTTTTCCTTGTCCCTTATCTTTTCTACTTTCCCTTTTTTCTGTTTCGATATCTCTGATCTCAATATCCATCCCCGAAATCCGCAATCGCAGTCAAAAAATTCAGACCTGTATCTGTTCTCATCTGGCATATAGCAGGGCGAGTTTAAGGAGTCAGAAAATCACCGGCAAGCGCGGAATTGAAATTACCCAATACTTGCTTGTCTCTTTACCTAAGTACCTTTGCCTGGTCTATCTTGGGTTGTATTGTATTGTACATACATACATAGGTCGCAATCGAAATTGAATACTGAAGCTAGAATTTAGAACAATCTTGGTTTTTGTCGAGTCGTAATCGGTCCAGACAGACGTTCGCGATGCAGAAGCTGACTTGACCCTAACCCTAGGTATCTGTGATGATCAACGTGACTAGATCCGGCTAAATAGACTCGGAATAAGGTAGAAGTCTGTCATCCTAAGTAGCAGTTCCGGAATCAGTGTATGCAGCGGCACTGAATGACGATTGTTGTGGTCTGGTCTACCGGGTTGTTGAAAACATATTCATCCGTACTTATGCACTCATGAAATGACCGCTCACCCATGGCTTTGGTAGTCAAATCCATATCTGGGTTCTCGGGTTAGGGAGTCTGGTTATGAAACGGAGGGAAGAGGTGGTCCAGACCATATATTGTTTGCCATAGATATGTAGGTATGGCGGTGGGAGGGGATTGGATGGATGGAATTTGTGAACTATGTAGTTGATTGATTGATTGATTGATTGATTGATGATGATGGAAGTACCTTGCTCAAGGAGACATAGATATAGGAAGGAGGTGACAAACGGTTCCATTCTAGAGATCTAACTGGAATGCCGATCGTACTTTTGCCAAGTTGATTGATGCTCGCGTCAAGAGTTGTATATAATCCGGTGCCGAGAAAGCCACACAGAATATCTAAAACATGTGACAACCAAACTACTTGTCGCTACATTTGGTTTTTTTTTTTATGTTTTTGAAATATTGATGAATTTGATCTAAAATATGTATGTGAAAGCTAGAATAGTATATAGATGTATATGTACCAGGAAACCTGCTCGAAAAGAAAAACGAGATGAAGAATTGGGTATCTTCAGAAAAGACACCACACCGCCGGATTGGCCAAATAGCAAAAACAATGAAAAAAAGACCCATGAACCCCAATGAACACATGACAAACGCACAACGCTTAATCGCACAGAAATCATCCAGGTATTATAATAGAAAATGGGAAGGCTGATTCCCTTTTGTGTTTTCCTTCCTTGATTGCCAAAAGAGTATTTCTACTCTTCTTCGTCTTCACCATCCATATCACCCGTGTCGGTCCAGCCGCGAGACATCTCGACGGCCTTGGACCATTGTTTGTACATCCTCGCACTCTTTTTGATGGAGATGTGGGGCTCGAAGGTGGTGCGGTTGGCGCGGTTCATGTTCTTGAGTTCATTGAAGTCCTTCCAAACGTCGATGGCGAAGCCGGCGGCGATGGCGGCTCCCAAAGCGGTGGTTTCGTGCATAGCGGGTCGTTCGACAGGAATTTGGATAACATCGGCTTGAGTCTAAAAGGAGAGAAAAAAAAAAAAACTGTTAGCGCGCTGCTTATTTGTGCGGTCAAGAGTAAAACAAGCACAACATACCTGCATGCAGATGTCAGAATTGCTCATTCCACCGTCAACGGCAAGCTGAGTCAATTTGTGCCCACTGTCAACCTCGATAGCATCAAGGATAGCCTTGGTTTGGAAACAGGCAGCCTCCATAGTGGCTCTTGCGATGTGCCCGCGCTGAGTATATTGCGTAATGCCAACTGTTGTCATGATTAGCAAAAAATCTTCACTCTCATATCCAAGACTTCAACTTACAGATAGTGCCCTTGGCATCATCTATCCAGTAGGGTGCGAACAAGCCACTGAACGCCGTGACGAAGACACAACCGCCGCTGTCGGGCACGGAGGCCGCAAGGTCACTGACTTTGCGCGAGTCACGGAAGAAACCCATGTTGTTCATCAGAAAAGAAACACCACTGCCTGCAACAGCCACACTACCTTCCAAAGCGTAGACAGGTTTCCGATGCTTGCCCAGTTGGAAGCCCACAGTGCCCAGGAGACCATGCTTCGAGATGACCGGCTTCTCGCCAACGTTGTAGAGCAGGAAGCATCCAGTACCATACGTATTCTTGGCGCTTCCCGGCGTGAAGGCGCAGTGACCCACCAACGCGGAGGACTGGTCACCAAGACAGCTAGTAATAGGAATGCCTTCTAGAGGTCCCGAGCTAACATATCCGTATCCGTCCGGGTCCGCGGACGGTAGGATAAGAGGTAAACGGATCTTGTTCCTGTCCAGCCCGAAGAAGTTGAGCAATCGATCGTCATAATCAAGCGTTTCCAGGTTCATGAACATTGTTCGGGAGGCGTTAGTCACATCGGTGACCAAGCGACCACCCTCGACACCGCCATTCAGATTGTAGATGAGCCACGAGTCGACAGTACCAAAAGCGAGTCTTCCATCCTCATATGCGGCCCTGACTTCGGGCAAATGCTCAAGCATCCATACCAAGGTAACGGAGGAAGGGTAGGTAGACAGCGGAAGACCACAAATGTTCTTGAGCTCGTCTGCTCCGGGTTTGGCTTTCAGCTCGCGGACCAAGCCCTTGGTCCGGGTATCGGGCCAAGCAATGGCATTGTGAAGAGGCTCGCCGGTTTCCCAATCCCAACACACTGCAGTCTCTCGTTGACTAGTGATACCAATAGCCTCGATTTCGTCGGTGGAGTGGCCCAGGGCAAGGAAGGTCTTCATCGCTTCTTCGATACAAATGTAAACGGAATCCACCAGCTCGAAGGGGTCTTGTTCGTGCCATCTAGAGTTGCGAGTTAGGAGGGGTCCAAAGGATGATGTTAAAGATAATGGTGGGAGGAAACATACCCAGAGTATTCATGAATCTGGCGAAACTCAGTCTGATACTTCGCTACGGGAACACCAGTGCAGTCGAAGATGATAAAACGGGAACTGGTGGTACCCGTGTCGATGGCCCCAATAAACCGATCCTTCAGGTTGTCATTGCGACGATTTTCGTGCTGTAATAGACCGCGATGGCCATCGTGCGATGAGTAAGCGTGAAGATCAACATAGCGCTCCTGCTGTTCTTGCTCGTCGATGAGCGAGTCCAGATCGGACATATCGAAAGGGTTCCTCATTGTGGTGGTGGGGTCGGTATAGGCAATTTAAGAGTTCGTGGGAGAGGAGTTGGCGAGAGGGAAGATTCTCGCCAAAAAAAAAAGAATATATAAAAAAGTGGCAAAGAACAGGGATTGCCCGAGGGTTGATTGGAGGGAGGACAGGAAGAGAGGGGGGGGAATTTACGTCCCGAGCGCAGTTCTTAAGAGGGAAGAGGCGGGGAAGAGAGAGAAAATATTGGTTAAAGGATGACGGAATTGAACTACGCGGAAATGGTTGGTGGGGGGAAGAAACGAGGAAAAGATACTGGGCAGCCAAGATGCTGCTGAGTCGGAGGAGTGGACGCAGGTGACGTAGCCGGATTCGGGAGTGCGTGTTGGGAAGGCCGTGAACGCAGTGAGAAAGAAGAAAACTTGAGGGCGGTGGGAGAGGAGAGAGAGAAGTCAAGAGAAGAGAGAGAGCGAACAAGAGAGAAAGTAGGCGGGGATGAGGTCACCGACTTAGGAGTGATTTAATGCTGTGGCGAGGCAACAAGGCAGGAAAAGGGAGGGAAACGAGAAAGAAAGAAATGAATCTTCGCTCTTCTCCAGAATGGACGAGGGACACTTCTTATCCAACTCGGTGGATCTGGCCCGCCCAGACCAGGTATTACATGTGCATAAGTGGACAGCTTTCCCTTGGTACCTGTCCGTATGAGAGTCCGGTATGGGGATGCATGGATGTACCTACATACATACTAACGAACCGACTAAGGGCCAGGCAAAGGAATAGTCCAGAGTGTGTTGCTCCGTAGGGTGCTTCCTAGTGACCCTCGCCCGGCTGCTCTCTTCGGGCCAGTCCCCTCGTACCCGCCGCGAACTAGGGTGCTGACCTAATGGCCTCCTACTTTGGCCTGGCGAATTCCCCGTTCGTCCATGGCGGAGAAGTGGGGGCGTGGGGGAGAACTCGGAAAACGGATTGGAAGATTCATTCCATTTCCACTTTCTTCGGCCCTTCTTTTTTCTTTTTTTTTTTTTTTTCTGATCAGACGACCACTGTCCGTCGTCAGCACTGACATTCATTGCCCTCCTTACGCGGAATGGGGACTGCTTGTTTGGGGATTTTGGGAAGGTTAGCCTGGCTAATTTAGAAAATCTGGAGTCTCTCCCTCTGGATCTCTCCCCTTTCCGTTATCGTCGATTTATCACCCTGCACTATTGGCCGGGTTAGTTCTCCCCATGTTTTATATTTGGGCTGAAACCTCCTGAGGTGATTGATGGATTTTCTATTTTCTATCTTGATTTTTGTGGTTCATACGGAGTACTCCGTACAATTCGTGATTATGGCCATCAATCATCGATCGCCTTTTAAAATCTCACTCGCGAAGGAAATAGAATTTAAGGGTCATTCAACGGAATGTCTTGATCACACCCATTGAAGGGGGGAGCAGAAAATAAAATAACATCCAAATTACCCAATTTCCCATCAGTGTGGTAAAGGAGGGTATGTCCGGCAGGGCTTCCGATCATCGCAGCCAAGAGCTCGAGGAGCGCGACTAAGAATAGTAGGTGCTGAACTGCCACATGACATCGATCACGGACCCATCGCAGGTCGATTCCATGGTTTTCTCTATCTGCATCTCCACCCGGAACTAGTCGCGGTGCCTAGAACAAACCCCCCCCCCGAAAACAGCTTTACCCGGTCTGGTCGACCACTCATACCCTCCCGTGGGTGTTGAGATAAGCAATCCTAGTAACAATATAATTGTCACTAAATAAGAAAAGAAATATCAAAATAAAAGAAAATATCTCTCTTTCCTCCCCCCCTCCCTCATCCTCCGAGGTCTTAATCGGGCTCGTCAATCTCTGGGTTGACAACGAATCCCCTCCAAAAGAATATGCAAGAGGTCTGATGGAGGCAGTATGAAGAAGGGGGAAACCCCAACAAAGTAAATCCAGGGAACAACGGGCTCCCAAATTCCTAATCGATAATGCAGAGCGATGTGCATCTATGCCTGATCCATTGATCCATTCCACGACCAGACATACCTACCTGCAGAATAGATGTCGATCTGGAAATCGAATCTCTATGGAAGCCCAACCACCGTCTCCTGAACAACGGAGGGAAGAATAATCCTAAATAAACCAGATCATATCCCTGCCAAGGTAGGTAGGATTGAAGACAAAACGCGCAAGAGAGGGGCTCTGCGGGCCCGTTGGTTCTCGTCGATCGAGCACATGACACGGTGCAATTTTCTCCTGCTATTCCTTTTTAACGCTCCTTCGGCGATCTAGACCGGCCCTTTCTACCCCTGGATCTTTTTTTTCTTGATCATTTGGACGTTCTAGCTTCTTCTCTCTCCGGTTGTTCCAGGGTCGTCGCTGGAATTCGGGGCCCCTTCCTCTCTCTCTCCTTTTCAATTCTACCGTTATCGTCGTTAGTTTATTTTATCTTATTTCCATGACCCATTTTTTTGTTTCTTTTTTTTTCTTTTCCCTCTTTTCCCTCTTTTTTTTGCGCGTGCTCATGACCTCCCGAGTGGGAACCGGACCACCCATTAGTAATGTCAGAACTATATTTTCTTTTTTAAACGAGACGGGGCCCCCCTACGAAACTGCTCAGTAATATACAATAGTACTCCGATAGTAATATTATGATAATATTAATTCACCTGCTCCGTACTAGTTTTTTAGTATCTGCTAAGTCCACAATTCATGGAAGGAATGTGTACCTAGAATTCGAATCCGGGTACTCCGTACAATCGTCAACTTGGTAATATATTTGTATAAGGTGTATGTATGTATATAAGTACTCTGCTATACCCTTGTCACCGATTCCTTGATCACATCCTTTTGGCACGCGTTCCAACCAGGATGGGACGGCACTAGCGAAGCCGGCAGGGCAAACAAGTCATCAATTCGGGGATGTGATTTACGGAGAAATTCGACCCTCCGGATAGTCGGGTCGGCTTGGCCCCTCCTTTAGTTACCCTGGGCCACGGGATCAATTGTGCCGACCGGCAGAAGGGTCTCGACGCTGACCCGGGGTTGCTTAATGTTTATTAAAATTTATTATATCTGATTTAAAAAATTTTCTTTTGCTTTTTTTTTTTGAACATCAACGTCCGTGTTTCGGACGAATGAATCAAGGAGAGCTAAAGAATAAGCACATTTTAGACTACGGATTTATTCCTAATTAGACTGGGTGACTGCCCAACTACGCTGTACGACTACCACTGAGTACTTTCTTTCGCCTGTCGACTTTCGACCCCGTCGTTCTCGCATACGCCGTACGGTGTAGTTAGTCGATACGGGTATTCCTTGCAAAGCTCATTGATTCATCGTATCTTATTAGTCCTCTAAACCCGCACTCTGCCCGGCTGCCCAGGTGTCGATGTCATGATTATGTATCCCAAGTCCTGCCCACGTATTCCAGTAAGAAGAAGATCCCACCCGAGGCCCACCACTCGCCACCTCAGAGCGGATAGTGACGTTGACGACCAGACCTGCTTGTCGGGCAAACCTAACTTACGTAGCTTTGCTGGCCCTGCAAGAACATGATCGACCTACAGAGTACGGACTACGGAGTATGGTGTAGAAGAGGTTCGGGCGGGTAGTCTTCGTTTCATTTCATTTCGGCAGTTCCCAAGCGTCAAGATAATCAACTTGAATCATACGGAGCCTCCATTCCCACTCAATTATCAGCATTGACCTGTGATGCATTGGCCCTAATTGGCTGGACGGACGGATCATCAGAGCATGCAACAAACCCGGAGTCGATCCTCCCACCGCAAATTTGTACTTTATTTATTTATATCCTAGGTTAAAAAAATGTGGCAGGTCTAGAGCCCTGTAGGATATAGCGGTATATGGAGTACTGGCATATTTCCATTGCGAACATAAAAAAAAAAAAAACGAAATATGGACCGATAGATCCGGGTTCTGATGCAATGCCTGCCTACTAGACCACTGGGCACTGACACAGTACATATGCCGTGCATGCGTTGTCCTCCGACCTGCCAAGAACGAGGGAATTGCAAAGCTACGGAGACCGGAGACCACGGAATGAGAACCCTACCAATCTAAGGATCCCATCAAATGACCAACGGTGAGATCCGGTCAAAGGTTGGTTTAGAATGCGGGCCGATACCTTCCCGGGACTTCCTTCCCAAACCTGTTTGCATCCCGGGCCCAGTCGTCATTGCCGGCCTGTTGCTGCGATCTGCGCCTTTCGTGGCAGACAAGTAAGTCGGCACTGCGTTGTGTTCTGGGTCGGTCTGCTTATGCTTCTGTCTGTCTGTCTGTGTGGCATCGTCGCACGTTTGGCATTGTAATTGTCATGTCATCTGCCGACTTGGTTACCTGGTTGTCTATCTACTCATCTCTTGGGCACCACGAGGACTGGGCTAATTTGTGCATGTGCATACATTCATAGCGACATACTTAGCACCCTACAGTACATTAGCACAATTAATATTAGTAACAGATTTGATGGATTGCACCGTTTTGGTCCTGACAGGGAGCTCGCTGTCCTCGTCTGACTTTCCTTGAATGAGTCGCTCGCTTGCAATGCCGCTGGATCCTGGGCGTTTTCTAGGTTAGGCACTCCCGTAGACAGGCAGGAATTGTAATGTCCATTGTCCTGTCTGGTTCTGGTCTTGCCGACACTTCCATCCTTCCCCCCGGGTTCAAGTCCTGCCTGGGGTGTCAAAACCCCGCATTTGGTTCTTGGGTCGTGCGATCCTGGTCTGCCATGGCCCGGAGTTACTTTGTCTAGTGGTCACTAGTAAGGCTGGGCCTTGGTATCGATATCAATATCGATGTCTGTTTGGATATCCGACCTGACTTCAGGAATGCTTGCCAAGGGACTAATCGCTTATGATCAGGGATTCCTGACATATCCGGAGTCCCGTGGGGAGATACGGTTTACTGGATATGGAGTAGGGGGAGTTCAATGTTCTCGATGACGATGATGATGATGGGAACGAGCGCGGACGACTGTGATACGGCACTGCCTAGGTAGGTTAAGGTAGTCCTTTGTCATTCTGCCAACCCCAAACCTGATTCGATACTGTTTGATGGAGATGAGTTCGGAGTATCTTTGTTTCTAGTTTCCCGTCTCTACGTCTCGCGTGGCACAACTACCACAGTCCAACATAACCAGTTCAAACAAACTAAAACAAATGAAAATTCCCAGCGTCCGCTGATTCGTTGATTCCACATGTAATCTACAAGTAACTCAACCCAACATAAAATAAAATAAAAAAAATCAAAATCGGAAACAATGATATAAGATCACACCTTTTGCTTTACTGTCACACGGGTCTTGCCGCAGGCAAGGTCTGAGACGCGGCTTTGCTTTCTCTCTCGGGCCACTCCGTCGAATTCAAACTATGCACATGCTTATACAATCACAGGATTAGAGGGTCTGTTTTTGATATAAAGAAGTTCAATTAACGTTGATTCCTTTACTCAGACTCCTCGGCCTCGGCCTTGCGGCGGGCCTCGAGCTCCTCCTGCTCCTTCTTCTTGAGGAAGAGCAGAGCGTTGATCTTGTCAGTGATGCTGTGCTCCGAGGTGATGGTGTTGGCAATCTGCTCACGGCCGACCAGGGTGGCCACGATACTGGCACCGACGATGAAGGTCAGGACGAAACGGTACATGCCGTACCAGTGGGGAGCACGGCCGTGGGCAGCGGCGCGAGCGTCGTTATAGTACAGGAAGGTGAAAGCGAGGAACTGGCTGATCAAAGCGTACTCGGTGGGGAAGAGCAGAGTCGGCCAAGCAACGGCAGGCGCGACAACACCGGCCGCATAACGCTTGTAGCCGTACTTTCCGCCGTAGCCGGCCCACTCAAGACCCCAGTGGATGGCACCCAGGAAAGAGAGGATCTGTCATCGCTCCCGGTCAGCTTAATTCTTGAATGGACCAACGGCAAGGTATCTACTTACCACAGCACCGTATCCGACCTGGATGGGCTCAATCATGTGGAGCAGGAGCTCGGCAGTCTGACCGGAGAAGATGAGGCCATCGCCACCAGCAGCGTTTCGGCCGATCTCGTACGAGAGGTAGACGGTCTCCATCGAAGTAGCGAGGTAAGGAATGACACCGGCCATACCGAGGTACAGAGCCTCCTTGGGGACATCCGCAAGACTGAAGGTGTCCTTGATCACTTTCTGTGAAAGAATCGGGAATGTGAGCTGATCGAGCATTTGGGAATATGCCGACGCGTAGATAACCCGATAGGAGGGACCGCATGCGACGAGTAAAAACAATTCAATGGATACATACCGCATCACCCTTGATACCGGCCATCATGTCAGGCTCTTCCTCGCCGTGGGCGTCCTGTTCGGATGAGATTAGCAATTGACGTTCTGCATAGCTCCTGACAACGATGCCCTTCTCACCTTGGACGAAGAGGAGGCATATCGGACAAGCGCGGTGGTGACGGGCTTGCGAGCAGCCAGAGCAAGGCTGGGAGACGAGGTCGGACGAGCGGGAAAGCGAGCGGCGGAAGTCAAGGGAGCCTTGAAAACGTTGCTGGCGAAGCTCGAGCGGGCGACCGAGGCATTGGTGTTGGAGAGAGCCCGAAGGGCAGAGCGGGCAGCAGTGGTTCTGTACAACATTGTCGACGAGGGACAGCTAATTTTTCTCCCGATCTCGGGTTAGCAAAGCGATGGCTGGAAAGCTCGGATAGCCGGTAGACGGACGACCACTCACCCAATTGAGCTGGAAAAAAGATGGAAACGAAGAGTAAGAGTGGAGATGAGGGTATTCACCCAGGAGTTGGTCGAGTTGGACTCGTGGGAGTGGAGATGGCAGGCCGAGGAGACAACTGATTCCTGGAGACAACGAATGAGTGAGGTGATATTATGCTGAGGTGCGGTAATGATCGGGCTCGGGCGCACCGCAGACGCCACTCCCGCAGGTGTCATCGGACGTGCCGCCTCAGGCACCCACCCGCCCGCACGGCGGGTGACTCAGCCGGCAGGGCTGGAGCCCTAGACGGCTAACTGGATGCAGCCGCAGTGCCTCAGGCGGAGAGAGGAATTGGGAAGGAGCGACGTCACTGCCTGGGCGGGTTACGCAGCCCCCCCTTTTGTTGTTTCGTTAGCCCAGCGCATGTTTTCCCCAGGTACGGCTGTAGGCAGGAAGTAGTTAGACCTAGTAGACCTGGTCTCTCGGCTCCGTTTGCTTCTTCTCCCCATCCTCATCTCTCTACTCCTGACATTCCTCGTGCCACCCATATTTGCTGCATACTCGCCGTCACCCGTCTCCGGCATATCTCCCTCAACTCTCTCGTGTTTTCCCCACCTTTCCTGCTGGTCAAACCGCCATTCCATCCCGTCTCGCCCCAGCCCGACCCGCATCCGTATAACGTGCACGCTTGGCTTGGTTAATATCCTGGATGGCTATGGTTTCTGCATTTTGCGAGTGTAACTAGAGCTCGCGCGCGTGTCTGTGGCAAGGCCGTACTTTCCCTCTTTCCTTGATTCCCCGCTTGGGCTCTGTGTCTGCCTGTTCAATTGCCCAACCTTGGTCACCTCTGTTCCCCTCATGCTGACGTTTGATTCCCCAACCAGGCTGGCGTGATTGGATCTCAATCGCCTGTCCTTCTTAAGACACCTCATCTCTTTCTATCGCAGTCTACCCCTATAGCCGCATACCGCAACCATGTTGGAGGGGGTGGTCGCCAACTTGCTTAACCGCTTCTTGGGCATCTACGTCAAGAACTTCGACGCCACGCAGCTAAATATCGGTATCTGGTCTGGCGATGTGAAACTCCGCAACTTGGAACTGCGGCGAGAAGCCCTCGATCAACTGCATCTGCCCCTCAATGTCGTCGAAGGCCACCTCGGCGAGCTCACCCTGTCGATCCCCTGGTCCAACCTTAGAGGGAAGCCGGTCAGAGTCGATATCGAAGATGTATTCCTCCTCGCCGCCCCGAAGGAAGATGCGGACTACGATCCCGAGGAGGAAGAGCGGAGAGAACAGAATTTGAAGATGGATAAAATCGATAGCGCGGAAATCTTGAAGGAACGAAACTCGGAGGGCATGAGCCAGGAAGAACAGCGCCGAAACCAAAGTTTCACGCAGAGTCTTATCACGGCAGTCGTCGACAACCTTCAGATCTCTATTAAGAATGTACACTTCCGTTACGAGGACTCGATTGCATCGCCTGGCCACCCGTTCGCCGTCGGTATCACGCTGAAGGAACTTAGTGCAGTCAGCACCGATTCCGAATGGAACCCCACGTTCATCCAGTCAACCTCGGAAACAACGCATAAATTGGCAATCCTGGGTGCCCTTTCAGCCTACTGGAATACGGATGCAGAGCTTTTGGGTACAGGCCGAGGTTCAGACATCGGCGCAGAAGCCCAGGGCACCAGCCACGCGGAACTGATGGAGCGATTGCGGTCGGGCATTGACGAAGAGCATAGTCAATACATGCTTCGCCCCGTGAGTGGCCGTGCTGGATTGGAGTTGGATAAATCCGGACAGCATGACCGGCCAGCCCTCAAGACCCGGTTGTTGTTTGACGAGCTTAGCTTCGTTTTGGATGACAACCAGTACCGAGATGCGCTGATGCTTGTGGACCTTTTCCACTACTTTATCCGGCATCAGGAGTACAAGAAATTCCAACCGAAGTCTAGCCCCAAGGAAGACCCTCGCGCTTGGTTCAGATTTGCTGGCGAAGCTGTGCTTAGCAAGATCCACGATCGAAATCGGCGTTGGACCTGGGATTACATCAAAGAACGAAGGGACGACCGAATCGCGTACATTGACCTCTTCAAGAAGAAAAAGCGCGAGGAGACTTTGTATGGAGAAGACGCCGAAGAGTTTGATAGGCTGCAGAGAAAGCTCAGCTATGAGGATATCCGGTTCTGGAGATCACTGGCAAGAAACCAACTTCGAAAGGAGAATGTAGGCGTGAAAAAGCCTGCACGACAGCAGACCTGGGGGGAGTGGTTCTGGGGTAGTAAACAAGAAGAATCCGAGGAGGCATCGATGACCGAAGAGCAACGCCAGGAGCTTTACAATGCCATTGACTGGGACGAGAAGAAAGCAATTGCCGAGAGCGTCGAAGTTCCCCGGGAATGGGTCAAATTGCAGATTAATTCGGCTCTCAGAGCGGGAAGCTTTACTTTGAAACGTGATCCCCATGGGGCAGCAAATGAAATCATGAAGCTGGTGTTTGATAATTTCCGTGCCAAGGCATTGCAGCGGTCAGACTCCTTCTTTGTCGATCTGGATCTCGGAGGGCTGAGAGTTTACGACGGAACCACGGAAGGGAGTCTGTTCCCTCAGATCGTGAAAGTGAAGGATTCTCTCCCAGAGCCTAAGAATCGCCTGTCGCAAATCTCAGACAACGCGGAACTAGATGCTGAAGTCGGTGACGACATAGTTGAGGATGAGGACAGCTTATTCCACCTTCAGCTCGAGAAGAACCCCCTTGAAAGCGATGCCGACTCCGTGGTCAAGGTCAAACTAAAGAGTATCGAGGTCATCTACAATCCCAAATTCTTGGTCGAGGTTGTCAAGTTCTTTGAGCCTCCAGAGCGACACATGGAATCTATTGGAGCTCTTTTGGATTCGGCAGGCGCGACTGTGGAGGGAATCCGGCAGCAGACCCGAGCTGGCTTGGAGTTTGCCTTGGAGGAACACAAGAAAGTGGATGCGCAGTTTGATATCCATGCACCCTTGTTCATTGTGCCCGAGAGCATCACAAAAGAAAGCTCTTTATGCTTGATTCTCGACGCTGGTCATGTGAGTGTCAACAGCGAGCTGGTCGACCGACAGACGATGAGAGATCTCCAGTCCAAACAAAAACGCCAGTATGACGAAGGCGATTACAAGGAGCTGGAGCATCTTCTATACGACAGATTTTTGATCAAGCTTGACTCGACACAAGTCCTCATTGGCCCGGGCATCGAGACCACCAAGTCACAGCTTAATTCTAATGTCGCGTCCAGTAACCTGCATATCATCGATCGTATTAACGTGGATTTTGTGCTGGAGATGTGCATCGTTCCGAAGGTTACAGAGCTCACCCGGACCAGAATATCCGGTCATCTTCCCGAATTGCACGCGTCAATTTCCGATACCAAGTATAAGGGATTGATGAAGTTGATCGATATCGCAATTCCGCGATTTTCTGAAACCGACTCCTCCGCACCGCCATCGAAGAAGAAGAGCGATGAGTCTACCTTCGCCGGCAACAGAGCAAGATCCTCGTCATTCAAACCGCCCAGCTTGAGGGAACTCCCTGTCGTTGACGAAGATTCCGATGACGAATCAGATCCCGAGCAAACAAATCAGAGCGTTGATAAGCCGACCAACATTCATCGCCGGGATTTCGAATTCAAGTTTACCGTTGGTCGTCTACGTGGTTCATTGTTCCGCTCGGATCCTAATGATCAGCTCCGTGATCATCTACTGGCCGAATTGGTTGCTGAAGGATTCGCATTAGACTATTATATGCGACCATTTGATATGGTGGCAGAGATAGTCCTTAAATCTTTGAGCGTCGATGATCACATTGAGGATAATCCCTTGCCCGAATTCAAGAGGATCATCTCGTCGAAGGGATTTGATGCGGACGAGGATAAAGATCTGTTCTATCTTAAATTTGTCCGAGTCAATCCAGAGTCTCCTGAATTTGAGTCAACATACGAGGGCGTCGCAATGAATCTTGATGTTTCGGTCTCGACTATCAACCTCGTCGTTACTAGAAGGACGCTCCTCACCCTCCTGGACTTCATCCTTCTCACCTTCACAAATCCAGAGCAATCCAGCAACAACGGGAACCAACAGTCAGACCGAACTATCCAGGGCACAGACGATGAGGACCAAAAACCTCAGCAGTCTGGAAAGATTCGCATAAAAGCTGATCTCAAGAGTATTGCTCTCGTACTCAACAATGACGGTGTCAGGCTTGCGACTCTGAGTCTCAACACTGCTGACGTAGGGATATTCCTTGTGGGCAAAACCATGCTCATACAATCTCGAATCGGAAGCTTGACCTTGGTGGATGATGTCAATACCGGAGCGTCAGAGACGTCTGATCTCCGGAGACTTCTGACCATTGAGGGGGATAATTTCGCCGATTTCAAATATGAGACTTTTGACCCGGAAAGTGCGAATTACCCTGGTTATGATTCAGAGGTTTTCCTCCGATCGGGCTCGATCAAAATCAATTTCCTTGAAGAGCCATACCGAAAGATCATCAACTTCCTGGTCAAATTCGGGAAGATGCAGGCTATTTTCAATGCTGCCCGACAGGCCGCAGCCAACCAAGCCAACCAACTCCAAGAAAATGCATCGCGGATGCGTTTCGACGTTGTCGTCATGACACCCATTCTAGTCTTCCCAGGGGTCGTCAAGGAGGACCGCCCTCGTGACACAGTGACAGCCCACCTTGGTGAAATATACGTGAAGAATACCTTTGTCCCCCTTGAGGATGAAAAGGACAGTCCTGCCGTGAATTTGATTTCTTCTGGTATCCGCAACATCCGCCTGACGTCGAAATTCCATTTCGATGAAGGTGCCGTGGAAGAACTTGAGATGATTCAGAAGGTCAACCTTGAGTTCAGTATATGCTACCTGGAGCACCAGCAAGACAACCCACGCCCTGATATGGAAATCGAGGGCTCAATGTCTCCCATCAACCTTCGTATCTCGCAGAGACAATTGAAATTCCTGATGGCTTTGTCCAACACAGTGCCCGGTGCATTCGCAACCGACACAGAGCAGCAAGAGCTCGAGGCCATGCAAGCACTTCCTTCCTCAGTAACTGAGCCCACCAAGGAAGCAGAGTCCAGGGCGATTCAAGAGAGACAGTCATTGGAAGCGAGCAATGTAGACGAGACCTGGGTCCGACTTGACATGATCTTCAAAGTAGATAGTGTTGGATTGGAGCTCATCCTGTCCCAGGACGACGAGCCAGTTGGGCGCCTGGAGGATGCTAGTTTGTCCAAATTCTCATTGAACGACACGCGAGTCAAACTGCGCATGTTGACAGATGGATCATTGGAGTCTGAGCTGTTGATACATTCCCTTTCTATTCGTGACAGTCGCAATGGGGACACCAATAAATTCCGGAAGATCATGTCATTGATAAACAATGATGTCCAGCAACAATTTATGGCCAGTGTGTCGATGTCTGGAGGACCGGAGAAACATCTGATCGCCATGTTGACCATTGACAGCCCGCGCATTATACTTGCTCTGGATTATCTTTCTGCCCTGCAGTCCTTCACAAACTCTGCATTCGCTTCAGAAGAGTCAGTGGAAGAAGAGGATGGCAGCGAGACTACCGAAGAATCAGAACCCAGATCAAGCACGGCAGAAAGTAGGGATGGCTCTGTTGGACCTGCAACCGGGGAGAATGCTACTCCGGCTAGGCAGACTACCGTGTCATTCAAGGTGAATCTTGTTGACGCGCAGGTAATAACGATTGCCAACCCAGCCATTACCCACACGGAGGCCATAGTTCTTGGGACAAAGCAGGTGCTCTTCTCTCACCAGAATGTCTCGACTTTGCAAATCACCAAAGTTGGCATGTTCTTGTGCCGCATGGACAAGTTTGAGACTAGCAGGCTTCGAATTCTGGACGATTTTACTCTTGAAATTACCATGGATAGTCGCCCTCAAGAAAAAGGCTCTGCTTTGACATCCATCAATGTACACCTTGAGCCCCTGGTCCTTCGTCTCTCTCTTCGGGACATTCTAATGGCTATGCAAATCGTGAACAAGGCATCTGAAATGCGGGCCCAAAGAACAAATGAGTTGGAAAGTGGCGAAGCAAAGCAAATAACAGATGGCAAGGCCGCAGGTACGAAGTCTTCCCGTAGGAAGTCTGTTGGTAAACAATCCTCTTCCGCAGTTGTACCGAAGGATCATCGTGGGTCACGCGGTGCTCTTGATCCCCAAGATGGTCGACTGGCACCTGCACGATCGGCTATTCTCAAACGAGAGGAGATGAATGCTCAGATCGACGGTATCAGAGTCATTCTCATCGGCGATCTCCATGACCTCCCGCTGCTTGACTGGAGCGTGAAGAAATTTGCAGTGGATGTTCGTGACTGGTCGTCAACGCTGAACGCTGACACTAGCTTCGACACTTTTGTAAACGTCTATAACTTCTCCAAGTCAGCCTGGGAGCCCCTCATAGAGCCATGGCAGCTCGGTTTCCATGTAGCCAAGGAAGTCAACCCGGAAATATTTTCGGTCGATCTCTACTCGCACAAAACGATGGAGCTCACGGTTACATCCGCCACAATTGCACTGGCGTCCAAATCTTTCCAGTTCCTTTCTACGGACGAGGATGTTCTCTCGAAGCCAAGAGGAGCGGATGCTCCTTATAGAATCCGGAATCACACTGGCTTTGATCTCCACGTCTGGGCTGATGTTAATGCTGACGAAGACGGACCGGCTGCTAAACTTACAGACGGGGAAGAATATCCTTGGAGATTCGAGGATTCAACTGCTATGCGTGAGAACTTAGCACCAGAAGGCCACGCTGGACTTGTCGGCGTTAAACTGGAAGGAAGCGGGTTTGAGAGCATAAGCCGGATCCCCGTCGTTCGGGAGGGCGAGATGCTATACAACTTGAAACCCAGGAAGGAGAATGTTCTCCATCGACTTCTAGTCGAAGTCAAGCTCGGCACAGACAACGTGAAATACATCACCTTCCGGTCACCGCTGGTCGTCGAGAACAACACACAGATTCCAGTCGAGTTAGGCATCTTTAGTCCAAATGACGGCCATCTCCTGAAAATCGAGAAGATTCTGCCTGGCGATGCTCGACCGGCGCCTGTTGGGGCAGCGTATATGCACTCACTTGTTGTGCGACCTGATCAAGGCTTTGGTTATGACTGGTCCAATGAACAGTTGCATTGGAAAGATCTCATACGCCGGCCCACTCGGACAATCAAGTGCGTCAGCGAGAGTGGACAACAAGCCCCGCCGTTCTACTTCCAGATGAATGCTACATACAATGCCCGGGACTCCCTAGCAGGCCACTATCCTTACATGCGGATTCGAATTTTTGCCCCCGTTGAAATTCAAAACCTCCTTCCCTACGATTTCAAGTACCGCATCTATGACAAGAACACGAGAAAGGACTGGACCAACTTCTTGCGAAAGGGAGGCGTCAGCCCCGTACATGTCGTCGAGCTATCTCACTTGCTTCTTCTCAGCATTGATATGCAAGATACTGTCTTCAAACAGAGTGATTTTGCCATCATCAACGGAAACGCGCAGGATTTTAGGAGAGAACACGTGCTCTCTCTGAAGGATGAGAGAGGCATCCAGCTAAAACTGAAGCTACATTACTACAATGTGCCCGAGAGTGGAGGCGCATTCAAGGTGTCGATCTACAGTCCATACCTCATTCTGAACAAGACAGGTCTTCCGATGGAGATACAGAGCAAGGCTTTCTTGCAGTCTGCTCGGTCAGCAGCCGGACAAGGTCTGAGGGCTGATCCCAGGACCGGCGGTCGTGCCCTTCCGTACATGTACTCCTACCCAACCGGTGACACCAAAAACCGATCTATGTTGAGGATAGGCGAATCTGCTTGGAGCAAGCCTCAAAGTTTCGAAGCTATCGGAAGTACATTTGAGGTCGTTCTCCCAGACCGGAATGGCAGATCTGAATTCCACTCAGGTGTGTCTGTCGCCGAAGGTGAAGGTAAATACAAGATGACCAAGGTCGTTACCATCACGCCTCGTTTTATTCTGAAGAACAAACTTAACGAAGAATTACTGGTTCGAGAGCCTGGTTCTTCCAACGTCCTCAGCATTAAAGCAGGCGATCTTATTCCCCTTCACTTTTTGCGTCAGGTCGCAGAGAAACAGCTTTGTCTTTGCTTCCCAGGAGTCAACAACCAGTGGTCGTCACCTTTCAACATCGCAGACATAGGAACTGTGCACGTGAAGCTTGCGAAAACAAACCAACGCCAAAGACTGATTAAGGTTGACACCATTATGGAGAATGCAACCCTCTTCATTGGTTTCAGTTTTGAAAATCGCAACTGGCCGTTCTCAATGCGAAATGAGAGTGACATGGAATTCATCTTCTTCCAAGCGAACCCCAACATTGAAGATGATGAAGTTGACAGGACGAGTGACTGGCGGCCAATCCGTTACCGTCTTCCTCCGCGCAGTATTATGCCCTATGCGTGGGATTACCCAGCTACAAAGAACAAAACTCTTGTGTTGACCGGCAAGGGCAAAGAACGACGTATCAAGCTCGCGGAGATTGGCAATTTGATTCCGATGAGGATTCCTCCCACCCAGCATGGGGAAACTCAGAAGATCATTGATATCAATATTACTGCCGAGGGTCCCACCCAAACTTTGGTCTTGTCCAATTTCAAGCCTTCGAAGAGTATGTATCGGCAGCAGAGGGGACAGGCTTCTCAGTCCAGTTTAAGCACCGGGTTTGAGGTTAAAGAACTGGACTCTGATGTCAATTTCAAAGCTCAGCTCCGTCTCGGAGGAATTGGCATATCGTTGATCAACCAAAATCTGAAAGAGCTGCTGTATATGACCTTCCGCGACATTGAGATCAAGTACAGGGAATCGCGACTTTACCAGACTTTGAACACGACCATAAAGTGGATCCAAATCGACAATCAGCTCTATGGAGGTATCTTCCCAATCTTGTTGTACCCCAGTGTGGTCCCAAAGACCGGCAAGGAGATGGAGGCACACCCGATCTTCCATGCCATGGTTACACGCGTGAAGGACGATTCTTACGGTGTGCTTTACATCAAATATGCCACGATACTGCTGCAGCAGATGACATTAGAACTGGATGAAGACTTCGTCTTTGCTATGCTCGATTTCGCGAAGGTCCCTGGTGCCTCGTGGTCCGAAGAACACGAGGGTCAGCTTTGTGACGAGAATCTCCAAATCCCGGAGCCGACTGGCGAAGGTGCTGGCCAGGATGTGTATTTTGAGCTGCTACATTTGCAGCCAATGCAGGTCGACATCTCCTTTATGCGGACCGAGCGCATCAATGCCGAAGACACAATGCAGCCCTCCAATCCCCTGATGTTCTTCGTCAATGTCATGACCATGTCAATGGGCAATGTCAACGACGCACCCGTCCGACTCAATGCCCTGATGCTGGAAAATGCTCGCGTCTCTCTTGGTGTGCTTGTGAGCAATATTCAAAGACACTATACCCAAGAATTCCTCCGTCAAGTCCATATTGTTCTTGGATCTGCTGATTTCCTCGGTAACCCGGTCGGTCTGTTCAACAATGTCAGTTCCGGAGTTGCTGCAATCTTCTATGAACCGTACCAGGGATTGGTCATGACCGACAGACCTCAAGAGCTTGGCATCGGGATTGCCAAAGGAGCTACAAGTTTTGTGAAGAAATCGGTCTTTGGTTTCTCGGACAGTATGGCCAAGCTTACTGGAAGTATGTCGAAGGGTCTTGCTGCCGCCACTCTGGACAAGGAGTTCCAAGACCAACGACGGATGTCGAAATCTCGAAACCGACCCAAGCATGCACTCTATGGTATCACCGCGGGTGGCAATGCATTTGCGAACAGCTTGGCGAGTGGTATCGGAGGTCTCGCACGTCATCCGCTCCAAGGCGCCGAAAAAGAAGGTCTTCAAGGATTTTTCAAGGGTGTTGGAAAGGGTGTCTTAGGCTTGGCCACAAAACCTGCGATTGGCGCCTTTGATTTAGCCTCAAGTAAGTTGTTCTCGAGGGTTTCGTTTGAATGGGATAACTAACATTTGTACAGATCTGGCTGAGGGTGTCCGCAATACCACGACTGTGTTTGACGCGGAGGGACTCGACCGCGTTCGTCTGACGCGATTCATCGGAACAGATGGTATAGTACGCCCATATTCACAGCGCGAAGCATTGGGTCAGTTCTGGCTCAAGACCTCGGACGATGGGCTGTACTTCAACGAGGATTATATCGCCCATTTGGAACTTCCTAGCAGAGACATGCTGGTCATGTTGACGTACGACCGCATAATGCTTGTGCGGTCCAAGAAGCTCAAGACCGAATGGGACATTCGTTTGACCGATATCCAAACCATCTCGAAGGAGCGCACCGGTATGAGTATCATTCTCAAGGGAGGTGCCAATGGGCCTTTCATCCCAGTTCAGGAAGAAAGTGCCCGAAATTGGCTGTACAGACAAATTGCTGTTGGTAAGTGAACATGGTGTTGCTCTTTATTACGATGCACTGTGGCTAATATTGTTCCTTTCAGCCGTCAATGCATTCAACGAGAAGCACAACAATATCGCTCGGACCAGTTAATATATTGAGATTTTTATGGTCTGCTAATGATGTCCATGAAGTTTGGCCTCGAGGCATACCGGCATGATGTGAAAAGGACGAAAGTACAAAAGTCACAAGCCATGAAAATTCAGACTGGATGCATTCAAGGAGCATCTGGAGCTTACGCTTTCACTGCACTTCAGCGTTGCAAATAGCCATTGTTTTGTATTTGTCTTCTATTCGTGTCTCATCTATTTTCTTTTTTCCTGATTTCTCAATTGATGACTGTAGATACTTTACGTTTTGGTTGTTTATCAGCTATTTAATTAATGTCTTCTCTTCAGTTACAGCATGATCCATCCTTACCATCGTATACAAGATAGGACATTTCCTTCGTTTGCAAGAAAAAGAGAAAAAGAGGATAGAGCTGAAGGAGTATAAGGGTGACGGTGACACTTCGTGCAATCTATCATATACGTATCGACACAGTAACGAAATAGGATATCATAAAAACCCAGCAAAATAGTTTTCGAACCTTCCGAGTAAAAAGTCAAGGCTAAGAGCGGAATTACTTTCCTTCTGCCTTCTCCACCAGCCTCTCTTCCAAACCCATCGGCTCCCATATATCTTTGGCTTTCTTGTTCTGCACCCAGACCACATCTCCCTGGACGAATGCCACGACACCCCCCTTCCCCGTCGCACTGGCCGTGATACGGAAGAGAGGCTGGCCGTTCTGCGGATGTGCCTCCCGCAGCGGGAGCATGATAAGCCCTTCCTCGGCGCACCACGACTCGATAATATCCTTGAAGCCGACCTCCTCGACGACCTTGGGTTTGCGCGGCGGTTCGGCGGGCACGCGCGGGGCGGCCTTTTCTTTCGCTTCTTCCGGCTCGTGGCGCGTCGTGGTCGGGGGTGGGAGCTCGGCGGCGGCTCGGTCGCCCAGGCGAGAGGCCAAGTCCATCGACTGGAGCCCCTTCTTCCACTCGTCGTCGACGATGGCCAGGTCGTTGATCTCGGCGGGGATCTGCGTGCGCCACCAGGAGAACCATTCGCCGACTTCTTCGTAGTTCGGGTCGTTGGTGAGCCAGATATAGAGGATATTGTGCCATTTGGGGAAGAACTCGGCGACGAGGAGCAGGCCCATGACGTTGGGCTTGAAGAAGTCCTTCCACTTCAGGACGTTCTCGAGCGCGGCGAGATCCTGGTCTTGCGGGTTGACGTCGAAGTCCTCGCGCAAATGGCTGCCGAGGCGAGGGAGGAGGTTGTTGCGGAGGCAGACATCGAACTCGGAGCCCAGTGCGTCTCGCCATAGTTCGATCCCGCTGACTAGGCCTCGGCTGAGATCCCAGGTGTCCAGCAGGACGCGGAACTTCCTCTTGGCGTCCGAGAGAAGACCCGTGGCCTGCTTGGGGTCGGTGTGTCGTTCGCCAAGATACTGGAGCCATGTGAATAGCCACCACGGGAACCGGGAGCTGTGCTGCGAGGACGACGGATGCCGTCGGCTGCTGCTTCGGGGTTTCCACTCCTTGATGCCGCTCGTAAGTTTGGGCACGACGAGCTGATCGAGTACGTTGGCGTAGACAAAGGACGGGAGGATCTCCTTCCATGCGACGATGAGAGACGTGGCGGGGGTCGGGTCGAATACGTCCCATTCGTTGAGGAGGGCTGAGCGCACGCGGGGCAGCCATAGGGTATAGATCATCGTTTCGTATGGTGACGTAGACTGGCGTTGCCCTTCCTCGGCGCTCTTCTTTCGCGATAATAGGGGTTGGAGACGGCGGAGATGTGATACGAGGAATGTGGGCTCCTTGAGAGGCTCCCATTCTTCCATGGCTTCGCGGAAGAGAGGATGGATGGCGGCGACCGCTGTCTCAGGTAGTCGGTATTCAAGGATATCGTTCCGGAATTTCATTTCCAAGGATTCGAGCTTGTCAGTCACTTCATCGAACTTGGTCCGAACGTTGCTGTCGTCTTGGAATATCTCCAGCGCCCCGACGGCGGTGATCAGCTCTGTCAGCTGGTCGGCTCGTAGCTGCTGCATGTCGAGTTGTTCCACGATCTGCGCCTCTTCTAGTTCGATGTAACTCTTTCGTTCCGTCAGTCCCTTCCATTCGTCGGCAAAGGCTTCTAGGTCATGGCGCGCCCGCTGTGCGATTTTCAGCGCCTCGCCTTCGCCCTGATTGACGAATGGCATCGGAGTCATCAGGCCGGCCGTGGAGGTGATCACCCGTTGTTCCTTGCCCGTGGCATCGATCAACGACTTGAGCACATTAGGGACCTCTAGACCCTCCATATCCGCCTCCATCTCCCGGGCCGTGCGGTATTGCGGCTTCGCGCGGACAACCGGGGTCCCCGTAGCACTGCGGCCCTCTCGTTTGCGCTGCTCCTTCTTCTTCTGCCGTCTCTTTCGCTCTTCTTCGGAGCTGTCCTCGAGCGTTTCGCCGCGCTGGGCCGCCGCTCGTTTCTCCTCCTCACGCGCTTGCTTTGTCTTCTCTTGCACGGCGCCCAGACCGGCACCCGTGGGACGCGCCTGAGCTTCGATCGGATTGACGATACCCTGACCACCGGATCCCAGACCTTGTCCCTCGACATAACCCATTTTAGCCATCATGCGCGCGGCGAACGAATTGCCTCCTGCCAGGCCATTGCCGCCATTGTTGTTGCCTCCCTTTGAGCCCCCCGTCGCGGGCTGCGCCATGTTGTTCCAGGGTTTGCGACGACCGCTACCCAGGCCGCGTGAGGGAGGCGATTCCGACCGGGATGAAGCTCGCGCAAAGCCGCGAAAGCCCATGGTCGGGCGTTCGTCCTCTTCGTCGGAGCTCATGTCGGCGACTTTGCGCTTCTGGCCGGCATAGGATGAATCCGAGGGGGAATCCATAGCCCCGAGCGAGTGAGGGATGGAGGGAGCAGCCGAATGCACGGAAATGCGGGGGTGGTGTGAAGCGTAAATAGAAGGGAGGAATGCTTGAATGTTGATAGAGTCGCGATGGAACCAAAATGTTTAGCGGAGAACGGAGCTCGGAGGCGGCGAAATGCGAGTCCCGAGGCGATGACGTTCTTCCCCAGCGACCCGCTTCTTTTTCCCTTGTTCTTCCTTCTCCTCTCCTTCCCTCTCTCTTCTCTCTACTCTCTTCTTTTCCTCTTCATACTTACCCCAACTTCTGTCAATTGACTCCCTCCTTACTGTGATACCCCATTGATCAAATCCTCCCTCTCCACTCCATTCATCATGGCTGCTTCTCTCGTCCGTCCCACGGCTCGCGCTGCTCTCCGCGCCGGAGCTTCGGCTACTTCCAAGTCTGCCGGTCTCGCCGGATTGACCTTTGCCCGCGGCAAGGCTACTCTTCCCGACCTGGCCTGTATGTGTCCCTTCTCATGTAGACTAGCTTCCGACAGCTCGGAACTGACGTGATCGCCCAGACGACTACGGTGCTCTTGAGCCCTCGATCAACGGCAAGATCATGGAGCTGCACCACAAGAACCACCACCAGACCTACGTCAACAGCTACAACACTGCCGTCGAGCAGCTGCAGGAGGCTCAGGCCAAGGGCGATATCTCGGCCCAGATCAACCTCAAGCCCGCCATCAACTTCCACGGCGGTGGTCACCTGAACCACACCCTCTTCTGGGAGAACCTGGCCCCCAAGAACGCCGGCGGTGGTGAGCCCCCTTCGGGCGCTCTGGCCAAGGCCATTGACGAGAGCTTCGGCAGCTTGGGCGAGTTCCAGAACAAGATGAACACCGCCCTGGCTGGTATTCAGGGCAGCGGATGGGCCTGGCTTGTCAAGGACAAGCAGACCGGCAACATCGGCATCAAGACCTACGCTGTATGATCGACCCGGACCATTCAAAATAGAGGATGTTTAAAGCTAATCCCCGACACAGAACCAGGACCCCGTTGTCGGCCAGTTCCAGCCTCTCCTCGGTATCGACGCTTGGGAGCACGCTTACTAGTAAGTTTCTCCGATTACCTTGCTTGGCCGTTGCCCGACCCGCTGCTAACGTGAATGTCCCTTCTAGCCTCCAGTACCAGAACCGCAAGGCTGAGTACTTCAAGGCCATCTGGGAGGTGATCAACTGGAAGACCGTTGAGAAGCGGTTCTCGTAAAGTGCAGACTGGACATTGACTGTACATTGCCTCTGATTTGAGCGATTGATTTTGGTTGAGATCTGTAAACTGAGAATTTGGGAATCTACTCGATAGCTTAGGATCTAATGTCATGATATTCCATTGCCCTTATAGAATCTCTGATGTACTTCGCCAGGGACGGCGTAAAATACCGGGTCCCGGCGGGTAATCCCGTAACAGGTTGCATTACATCAGCGACTTCGTCATCGCCGACTTTCTGCATCCGGATTCTCGCGGCTCTCTCGACTTCACCTCTTCTCTCTTCCTCTCATTACCCCCCAGTCATGTCCGCTACCAGTCCTGGGGAACGGCGCGGCTTCCGAGCCTTCTTCGCCAATGCCCTGCGGCCCAAAAAATCTCGCCAGGTCCTCCGAAAGGGCTACAGCGCATCCACGCCGGACCTTCGAGCCGAGCTGCAATCGCGCGGCGGCAGCGATGACATCCCTCCAATGCCCTCCCTTGCGCCGCTCGAGGCCCATCGACTCAAATATCGCGAGGCCAATGCCCAGGTTGACACCCAGCTGGGTGAGCACCGCGACCACACGGCCATGCTGCACGCCATTGGCGTGCAGGACATGAGCGACTCCGCGGCCAACGATGCGAACGAGATCGACCGTCGGCCGCCCGGCGAACCCGTGATGGCCATGCTCCCGCCGGATCTCTGGCGTCTGGTGGCGGAGTTCTTGAACCCCGCCGAGCGGGCTAGTCTCGCCTTCGTCAGCAAAGCCTTCCTCGGCCGGCTTGGCCTCGATCCCTGGATGGCGCTGAACGACCCGGAAAACCACGACTACCGCGCCGATTTCCTCGTTTCGCAGGACCGCGCTCTCCCTCACCACCTCCTCTGCTTCCCCTGCGCCCGCTACCACCGTCGCACGCGGGAAGGGTTCGAGAAGCTGCAGCCCGCCGACGTGCTGAACCCGCTCTTCGACTGCCCCAATGCCCGCAACCCGCTGGTCCCGCCGCCACGACACCGCATCACCCACGGCCGCATGCTCCCCTTCTCCTTTGTCCAGCTCGTCATGCGCGCCCGCCGCTTCTCCCCACGCTACGGCATCTCCGCCGACCTGCTCTCGCGCCGCTGGCGCCGCGATGGCTGGTCACACCACAGCCGCTACTACGTCCACCGCGGCCGGCTGCTCATACGCGTCGTCAGCAGCTGCTTCGCGGAGCCCGACCTGCCGCCCAGCTCGCAGCGCATGCTCCTCTACTCGCGCGACGACTACTGGCCATACTTCTCGGCGTGCGCGCACTGGCGCGACGGCGAGCTCATGAACGTCTGCAAGTGCGCCCTTGGCCACATCCCCAAGCCGCGCGAGACCGCCGGCCTGCAGGGCCTCGAGCACCGCGGTAAGGACATGATCCACGGCCGCATCCACAACCCGAACGCCCTGACCACTCTCTGCGGCAAGTGTCGTCCCATGCGCCGCTGTCCTGAGTGTCCCTCCGAGTACCTCGTCGAGGTCAAACTCACCGAGGACCGCACCGATCCGCGGAGCCTGCACTTCCGTCACGCCATCGTCGTCACCCGCTGGAGTGATCTCGGTGACGGGTCGTCTCCGCGTCTGTCGCGCGAGTGGGCCGCCTGCAACGGGCACGGCGACGGCTACGACTCGTTCGAGTTGCTCGGCAAGCGCACCATCTCGGGTACCTTCGAGTCCTCGATCACCGATGACGTTCTCCCGGGACAGCGCGTGTTGTCCATGAATCCGCGGGGAAAGAAATTGGGTGAGTCCGGCACGGGCTGGTACTGATCCATCACTCTCAGAATGGGATAAAAAGCGTTGGTTATGTATCACCTGCTTTCTTTTTGTTTTACCCTTCTCTAATCCTTTCATTAATTACTTGTGTCTTATATACGGACCTGATATGGAGTTTTAATGGGGTCGGTGTGAGAGTGCGCACTTCTTGGAATTCAAAATTGGGGGGGTTTTTTTTTTCTTGGTGTATCATGTACATAGATTGCGACAGGTCGGGTCATGCATGGGAAGGGGAGTTTAGTTGGATTATAGATTGAGATATTGAAAATGGATGATACTCGGTTTTCTGGAGTTTTTAGTTGCGTATAGTCTACAATATTATCCATCGATAATGTTCCAGTTTGTGTAAGATGTTTTGTAGGATATGGAAGAAATTTATAATTCAATTGATTGTAAAGTTTTGTACTTTTGAAGCTTTCCTACAATGAACCCCTAAAATAACACAGATAGAAAATTAGAAAGATGGAAGAAAAAAAAAAGGAAGGAAAGATTGAAAGCGAATGAATGGATGAATTCCCAAAGTCAATCCATCTTGGCAGACTTGAGCGCTCAATTAAATCAATGAAATGAGTGAAATGAGAGACGAATGGTTGGATCTAGACCAGCCAGATATAGATGATAGATCTCAATCAGTAAACATGGGAGACATGATAATGAGAGTGGATGGACGCAAAACATTAAGAAAGAACAAAGGAAAATGAACGAAAGGAAGAAACGACAGAACAAAGCAGTGCAGAAAAACAATATCAAGGCCATGAAAGCAATCCCCGCAACCCCATATCCTATTCGTACAATCTTCATGCCGGCTCCGTCACATCAAATAACTCGTGGGTATCGTGAACGAAAGAGAAAGAAAACTCATGGAAAGGCAGAATAAAGAAGAACGAAAGAAATTAACAAAGAGAACCGAAAAAAGAAGTGCAATTAAAACAGGATAAAAAGTAAGAAATGCATCAGCCCCGTCGTGAACGTCGTTCCATATACCGTGGCCGCCGTCCCGGTTCTTCTTCCTCCGCGCGAGACATGCGTTTGGAGTTATATGCAAAGTCCTCGACAACGATATTCGTGCCCGCGAGGTGATTGGGGTCTTGATCTGCCTCGGGGATCGTTGAGACCGGGCCCGAAGCATCTTGACCGAGTCGAGAGGATACTCGACTCTTGCTAGGTTGGGATGTTGGCGTTGTGGAATCCACGGGGTCGGTTTTCTTCCCCAGAGATGCGAGCCCGCTGGCTCCTTTGACCCAGCCAAGGATTCCCAGAGAGCTTCTCCTCTTGTGGCTCTTGGCGTGAGAGAGTGAGCTTTTAGCCATCGTGCCGGCCGAGGCGAAGTTGCGTTCGGTCAAGGAATGAGGGAGAGTCCTGTGGGGGACGTCTTCGTCCGTGGTGTCTGCGTAGGTTGGCGCAGACGCTCGAAGGTTCGCATACCCGGTTGTTGATGGGTCTTCGATGCTTTGGTTTGCTTGTATTGCCCTAGCATTCGCTATTTGTCTCGTTTTCCGTACTACGGGGGCAGGTGCACAGTCATCTTTATCGAGAAAGTCGATCGTGGGAGAGTCCTGCAGGCGTCGCGAGCTTCCTGAGCGATTGAATAAACGAAGACTAATTCTCCGGCGAGAACGTTCGGGATCAGGTTCAGGCCGGGGATCGGGCTCCAACGAGTCCAAGTCAAGGGTCGGAACGGTGGGAAGATCGGTGTCTCGGATGGCCGAATCGATGCTATGTCGTCGACCAAGGAAAGAGGATTGACTTGGTGCTCGAGCACCAACTAGCCGTGATCCCGCTGGGAGAGGACCGGTAGGAGGAGCGCTGGCCTGATCTTTTCTGGCAGGACTCCCTGACTTCGCCGCTTCCACCCAGTCCTGCGGAGTGAGAGGTGGTGATGCAGCGGGGCCTCTTTGTCTTGCTTCGAACATTGCCGGTGAGTAGTGATTCCGATCCATCTTGGTGAAAACCCTCTCTAGACCATGGGGGTTGAATATCTCGTTTCCCCCGTAATGACCGAAGCTGGGGTTGATGATAGATTCTTGACTGAGAAGGCCCCCCGTTCTGGATGTGATGCTGTCTAAAGGGAATATGGCGGGTATTTCTTCCTTCTCAAGGCTGCGTCGAGGTAGTGTAACCTTGCTTGTGTTGGTGTTCAAGCCATCTGTAACGTTGCTTTGTGCATAACTTTGCTTCGTTGTCAATTCGCCGGCAGAACGGGGACGCGCAAGCCTTCGTTTCACAGACTGAATCTGATCGCTCTGGCCTTTGTCGGCGCCAGCACTGCCATTGGACCCGTTCCCACCTCCTGCGTATGCCGTGCTCATGGTATCCGGGGTAGGCGGGAGCCTTGTACTCCCAAACACACTGCCTAGTGGCGTCCGCTGGCTAGAACTATTCCAAAATGCATCGCTATCAGCACGGAGCGTATTTGATTCCTGGAAAACATCCGATGGTGGCGGCTTCATATTTGGAATTTTGTCCGCAAAGGGGTCCGACTGGGGTTGGATCCATTCAGCAATTTGACGCTTCCCTAAACCGCTGCTCTGGGATATCGACAAGTCAGACTTATCCGAAAGAGGCTCTCGTTTTCGAATCGGAATCATGATCTGGTCCAATCCATTGACTCCTCCGACACTGTCAGTATACGGATTTAGTTCACTGCATTCGCTCAAAGCGCTTAGTCTTGGCGATTCAACATCCAGGGTCTCGTTAATAGAATTGAGGCTGTCCGACCTTGTAATCTCACTCATTGCACAATGCTCGTCAGCCGGGGCATAGAGGCTCCGCAGGGCTGCAGTACTCTCTCTCCGGTCTGTAAGAAATGACGGGGGCCTCTTGAGGTTACGTGAGCTAGATGATACACGACGATACTCCCCAGATGCAGAGCTTTGTTTCGAAGATCTTCGTTCGGGAATTTCGAAGTTGCTCTTGTTTCTAGGTGTCTCAAGATCATATTCATCGATAGGGTCGGGAGCCGTGGAAGGCCGAGACGCATCCTGGCCCCCTTCCATCGCTTCCATTCTCGCCTCCAGCTGGCAGATCAAATCCACAGCCTCCGTTACTGCCTGATCCCGCTTGTCGATTTCTTGTCGCAACTGCTCATTGGATTCGCGTAGACGGAGATTATCCTCCTCGGCATCTCGAAGGTCCTGGAGTTCCTCCTCCATTTGTCGCATTCGCCGAAGCTCCTCCTCCATCTCGGCCATCCGTTCGAGTTTCTTCTCCATGGCTATAATCTGTTGGGCGCGGTGGAAGATCTCAAGTTTCAGGTCAAAATTTTGCTTGTTCATTTTCGAGATATACTAGTAAAGGTTTAGTCGACTGCCAGATCTAGGGCTGATCAGAGGCCACCTACTTGATCCGTCTCCCGTATCCCCATCTCTCGTGGCTGCTTCAGGCCGGACGAAAGGGCGTTATTTATCTTCCGCTGTCTGGCAGAACCCGGTTCGTCTTGTTGGGATTGGGATTGGGAATCGGAACCGGAGCGATCCGGCGTACGGGGTGTGCGATCGTCGCAACCTTCCGACATCGTTCCTCGCGAGCCGCGCGAGGCACGTTGTTCTTTCAAGAGATCTTGTAGCAGGGAAGACGAGGGGTTGACCAGGGTCGTGGTAGTTTCCGGTGTTCCTAATTCCAACACAGCCGTGGTCAGCGTTCGTTCATTGGTTATATCGCTGCGAATCTTGCGGATGCGTACGTGATCGAGGGGTGTGTGAAATGGTCGACTTCGGCGACGCGGTCATAGAAGGCAAGTCCTCGGTGCAGGACATATCTAGAGACTGGTCAATTGCATTGATCGGGAATTCTGAATTGAAAGACGCGCTCGCACCTGTGCTCGTCCGCGAATCCATTGCGATATCACCCTTGACACGGGTAACGGCAGCAGGTTGAAGAGAATCCGGTCTGGGTCTGGCTGGAGACGGACAGATGGACACAGGTTAGCTTGAGGATTTGCGCGGTTCCGTATCCCTTGATTGGGCCAGGGACGAGAAATTGCGGCAGGACTCACTCTTCGTTGGACTGTGTCTCAGAGAGGCCCTTTTTGCGGTAGGAGGCGTGGGATATACGCAGTGTCGCAGCGACGAAGGGATTGACGAGTGCGCGGAGACCGTGCTGCGTCTCTGAAGATCTCTGTCCATTTTGGCGACGACGGGAAACTCGACAAGACGATGCGCATTCCTGACAAGACGCACTGCACGAGTTAGAGTGCAGTAGAGCGGCAGAAGCGTGTGCACTCAAGACGCGAACTTGCTCAGCTTGGAAGATAACTGGATAGATCTCGCAAGGGGAAAAAGCAATAACTACAGCGATTGGAGACGGGTCAAGCGAGGAGGTGATATGTCGATTATTACGGATCCACTGGGGTTGGCTTTGCTAGGGGCTGGACAGGAAACTAACTCAACGAAAAGAGAGGAATCAAGAAAGAGAATGAAAGCCAAAGTGACGGACGTGAGGGGAGAGGCAGAGGGAGAGGAAGAAAGATGTGACGAGTCGATGGTGGTGGCCAAGAAAGGGGAATGACATAAAGTATATTATTTGGGATCCCCACCCAGCACGATTTACCCGATCTGCCGGAGGTTCATACTTTAGTCTTAATTCTGGAAAGCCGGTATGTTTCGTTACCAGGCCAGCCTTGGGAATGTATGGGATTCTTCCATTGCGGGCATCTCCGACATCGTGGCCATCGTCGGAAGATAAGGGATTCAGTCTTTCTACGAGAGAGACTCACATCGAGATGCGATGGATTCTGATTAATTGAATATTGAATATTGAATATTGAATATTAAAAGATTTCAATTTAATAAATTCTAATTTTTAGTGTTGGAACTTGGAAAAGGCAGGAACCCCCCCCTGCTGGCACAAATCTTCATTGGACGAATCGGAAGCGCCCAGTAGCTGCGGGGGTTTCATCCCTTGCCAATCAGCGTTGACCGTTGCCCTCCTGGAGGCCCAGACTCCCCGCGGCCTAAACCCGTTCGGGAGGGATCCGCTTGGCCTGGCGATCCAATGGACAATTTCATTAATTCATTTAATTCAATCTCTACGGAGTATGTACTTCTGTCCTCCCTCCTCAGTTGGAGGGCCTGCGACAGGGAGATACATCCACGGCCATTCCAGGGATCGCTTCGTTTGGGATCCATCGGGTCGCAAAATTTCATTCGAACCGACGACCAGCCACAGGTATCCGTCATCCATGGAACTTGTCCATTCCGAACCCTGGACACTGAGAAACAATGGTACCAGCCTTGACCTTCTCGGCCTGACTTCGGTGTTGGCAAGGAAAGGGTATGCTTATATAACTCGTCCCATTCTTCATAGCTCCCATGACGTGTGATCCTCTCTGGTATAGTACCGGTCAAATTAAATAGAGTCCCAAGGTAGAAACGCATAACATACTATGACTCGCCCACGCAAAAAAGACCTGTCCCACCTAGTTTCAATTGAAGTTCAAATGGGAGGCTCTTCAGAGAAATATACATCATAGATCAATATCAATTCACTCGGCATACCAAAACTCCACTGGATGCAAGTCATGTCACATCCTCCATAAACATGGTCAACATGTTCCGTAACGCTCAGAGTCGACGAGCTCAGCTCAGTCAGTATCCCCTCCAGTTCTATCGCTTCTTCGCTTCCCCGGCCCAAATCCGTGTCTCCCTGGCACTATCATGAGCCACCCGGAACACTGTCCACGTGTTGCTAGTCAGAATCCTAATCGCTCAACCCAAGGCCAAATGAGCACAACTTACACTGTCGCTCAGTCTCGTCTAGACCTCGCAAGAACTCGACACCCTCGCCGAGAGCCCCTCGCGGGTTATGCGCATGATCAGCGATCTCGGCTGCACGCTTCTTGAAAGTCTAAAGGGACAGGGTCAGTCAGTTACGGCATTCCACTCATTGACGGCCACGACAGAGATCAAGAAAGTCGGTCAAGACATACGTTACTCAGAACGTCCACCATCTCTTCCTCTTCGAAGAGCTCCAGTACCCGTTCGCTCAGGCTGTAGAAGTGGGGCGCCAGCGCGCGCAAGTCGATGGTCCGGGGATCAGCCTTCAGTGCGTTCATGACGCGTTCTGATAAGGCGGCAGGAAGATCTAGTGTAACCAGACGAGACGTCCCCAGCCGCGCTCTGGGACGGGGGCAGGTTAGACGGGAACGCCCCCAGCCTGCATGCAGACAGAAGACTCACCCGATAGAGAGCATTTCACCCAGCCATAGCGGCAGATCGATTCGCGTGCCGGCTTTGATCTGGGTCGCGTCAGTATACAATTTCCTTTGCAGCGATGTTTAGGAATGGCTTGACTTACGTTCTCGCCTGGATTGCCCTCTAGAATGCCAAGCCCTGGCACCGCGAGCTCAAACGTGCACGGCAATTTCTAGAGCACCGAAGATCAGAATGAGATGAACGAACTTCAAAAGAACCGAAGTCCGGCGCGAGACCACCAACCTGAGCGTCTGTTAAAATGGAATCAATGTCATAGTAAGACATTTTGATTGCTGGGGGGCATGCAACCGATTTCCTGCTGAAGATCGACGACGTTGAACTCGACGGGCGGCGAACGCGTTCCTGGTGCGCGCGGTGTCACGTGCACAAAACGCCGGCCGGGTATCTATGACGTAACCGTTGTAGCTACACTAGCCCCAAACGGGCAATCAGCTAGTAAGAAACAACTAAAGATGTTCCTCTGCTCTTCTTCTCGTCTACATCCATCTACATATATATTCCAGAGATATAATCATTTTATCCAGCCTTCATCCTTCATGACCAAAGACGCGCCTCGTACACAGACAGGCTTCGTTTGGCCTAAAAATCCATCTCTGAACAACCTCCGTCTTTCCTAATAACCCCAGGTCTCCAGGTACTTCTCTAAGGTCTTTTGCGCTTCCTGCCGCGCTTCGAGGAGCTGCTCCTTCGTACGCATCTGAACAATGTCGGGGTCGTACAGATGCCACGGCGCAAGTTCTTGAATGAACCAATGAACCTGAGACAACAAGTCGGCGCCCTTAGTGTTGCGTGGTCGGACGGCGCCTACCCTCTCCAGTTCAACCTCCCACGCTTTTGCAAGGCCCCACTGAATATTGTGGCCACTTCCAAACATAGTAGGACCCTGACGCATGGGCCTGGAAATAGGAGGTATCTCTGGGAATCCATGTAGCATTGCGTGTCGCAATCTTTCGGTTTCTTTTTCGAATGGCGCGGTGAGGGATCCCGAGAACCCGGCGAAAGAGTACAAAAACTCCATGACTGGGATGCCGACGTGAGAAAGACCGTAATCGAGGATTGCGGTGATCCGAAGAGTCTCGGGATCGTAAAGAGTTTTCATAGGCTCTGCTTCCGTCTCAGTGATGTCCTGCTTTGTCTCGATGATGGCTTGTACTTACCCAGGCCGCCTTGGATGAATGTCGGACGATCTGTTGGGAGGCTCGCCAACAACTCACTTGATCCGTTCATAACGAACTGGTCAATTCGGTCGATGAGCTCGCTGTCCCGCCAGCCACCGATAATCCCAAATCGGTCCGACGCTTGAAGATACCAGCTCATCAGGCCTTGATAAAAGGAAGCAATAGAGTCAAAGGGGCCACCGACACACTGGAAGCTCGGAAGACCCGACCGCATTTGCCTTTGATTATCAAAGGCAAGTCCACCGAAACCGGTCACGGTATCCGGAAGACGATAGATCTGGAACGCCTTCGTTACATCTGCCATCTGCGCAAGAATGACTCTCTGCTTGCTGATTGGGAGACTCGGAAAGTCCGCGGCAAGGTTTTTGCCCGGGATATATTCTTCAAGAACCCAACCAAGTGCGCTCGGCTCGTTCTCACCGCTGTCCCAGCCGTAAACTTGGGGAACAATCGATGGAAGATGCGAATGGGAAAGAGCCGAGCTGGCAACACTCATTGCAGCTACTTTGTTCTCCGCCCGTACGGCCTCATTGTAGGTGTCGAAGGGCCTGAAGAAGCGGAAGATCAACTTTGCTGTATCCTTGGGTATGGGCACAGTGCCAGGCTTTGGGGGTCCACGGGATGGTGCCAGGAGCCGAATGCTTTTGAGAGGCTTGAGAAGATCAACTAGAAAGACTATATTGCTGCGACCATAGCCAAGAGGAGTGATATTTGTCACCTCAAGACCAAAGTCCTTGCTCAGGATCTCACTAACAAGAGTTTGATGATCATCAGGAGTTGTGGACATGCTGGAGGACGAGTGCAAGATGCTGTGATCACTAGAATTGTTGGAAACAGATGAATCTTTATACTGAATTTAAGGGAAATCCGGCATTGTTGGCCATTTCATAAGCTGCGGTGCGAACAAAGAACCCAACTCTGTGGCCAACCAGCAGCCGCAAAGTGAGTACACCAATCATCGGAACACACTCTTACAAACAATGATCGCACTGCATGAGACTTCTCAACCATCTTCCCAGTTATGGGCCTTCACCCATTTTTGTAACCCCTCAAAATCCCGACGAATATACTTGTTGGAGAATATCGGCTGGGGGCGTTCCCTGGTCCCACATTCTCCCATGCAGCATCCAGCTCTGGTCGCACATTACCTGTGAAACGTGGCGTACCATGCAAACTAGCGTGGAGTTGCATCACCTCCCACCCTCCAGTGGTACTAAATCCAAGTTTGTCTGTCAGCCACGGAGACGTCCTTTGTCTCTCCAATCCAAGAAAGGGAAAGATATCGACGACAAAGTATAGCCTATGAAACCCGACATCATGCATGGCGCGCAACCTCCCTGAAAGCACGACCGTTGCAACAAAGAGTTCGATAGGAGTATCAAGGGAGCAAAAGCAAATTCCATAGAGACTCCAATCGCGAACCCTTGAACGTCGCCATCGCTCTTGCTGTTCCTCGTCAATGTCAATAAATTGTCGACCCCTGGCACGTCCCGACCTCGAATGTGGCTTTTCAAAGTTTGTGTTCAAAGGAAGCGTTTCTTCCTAGTGGGTGTCGCTCGCCGACATCCTGCTAGGCAACCGAGCACGAGGCAGTATATATTGTTCGCATGGTTCGGAAAAGCAGTTCCCTCGCTGACGTGAATGAATTGTCAAAGAGTCATTATTTATGCCAGTTTGTCAGCCCAGTGTCTAGTTGCATGTTACCCCTTACAAGACCTGCAGCCGTCAGAGCAAGTACGCAGCAAGTCGCCTACCTAGTCATTGAGAAATGTCCTTGGGGGTAGCATAGGCTAAGAACCCTGGGCGTTTGGAAATTTCTTTTTATTTTTTCTTTGTGCTACCCCGACTTTATATCCGAGGGCTACAAACAAGGAGGCCTAATAGGTCTTGAAAGTATTGATGCCTTGGGTTTCACTCGCCTCTGTCAGAGACTTCGCTATCACAGACTTCAAACCAGACCACGGCCGGCACGCGAAGGAGGGAAAGAGGCATCTTTCGGTCATCAATCAAACATTCTGTTCAAAACACACCACATAAGCCGATTACAGCCACGGCCACAATTATTCACCTACTATCTCCCCAAGCATAATGCCTGATAGGGCTTATGGAGACATCTGATATCCGCCCCACTCAAGAGGGTCCCCGTCGACCACCCTGGTCGCACCGTTCGTCCTTCATATGACCAACCCAACTTATCCTCTAATTATCATCTAATTTATACTCAGCGCATCATTCTCTTAACTAGCCAACAACTACTGCCTTACGCACTAGCATTCTTGACATTATACTGCCGACCGACACCGCCTCGCCTTGCGTAAACGCATGCTGGTTTCGGCAGATCATCTCTCCGAACAACAACCACTCCGGCTTCCCTATCACCACATGTACAAGAGAATATGGTCCCAGACAACAGTGCTTCGGTGAAATGGGTACTGAGAAACTGTTGACTGGGCGTCGGTCACACCGCAAGTCACGCAATGGCTGCGGGCAGTGTAAGGCAAGAAAAGTAAAGGTACAGTTTTGCGTTTCTGTCAGGTGCCAATACGCCTGCAGACCCTTCTTTGATAGAAGTTAACAATCTTTGGACAGTGTGATGAAGGAAGACCGAGTTGTGAGAATTGCAAAAAGCATCAGGTCCAGTGTTCATTTTCTGCGACCGCTGGGGGTGCACCTTCTCCCCCAGGAATTCCAGGCACTCTTTTGAACAATGATGATGCTATGTCAGGTACTGGTCAGACAAGCGGTATAACGTCAGAGCTCGCCATATCTGGTCTAGAGCTGCTGCATCATTTCTCAACTTCAACCGCGTACACTTTCTCCCAGCACCCGGTCATCCAAACTTTCTGGCGTCTCAATGCCCCTCGAATAGGCTTCTCCGCTCCTTATGCACTCCGGGCTATCCTGGCTATATCTGCTCTCCATCTGGCACATTTGCGACCCAATCAGAAGCAATTCTATGTAAATCAAGCCGAATATCACCATGATGCCGCAGTGAGACAAGTGACACCGAACATCACGCATCTGATGCAGGACGACAGCGCCGGTTGCTTCTTGTTCTCAATTCTTACCAGTTTCATAGCCTGCGCCAAACCTAGAAAACTGGACGACCTGTTGCTTTTTAGACGAGGAGAAATCTCCGAGTGGCTGGTGCTTTTCCGGGGTTCGGGAACGATTGCCAAATATGCCTCAGAGGCGTTATGGTCCGGTCCCATGGCGGCCATCCTTAATATCCGCAGCGCTCGTTCGAAAGTTCGCAAAAGCCTGACGGCTGACGATAAAAGCTCAATACCCGACGTGGAGCGTCTGATCCGAAAAGAGGTTCATAATGAGGACAATTTTCTTGGATGCCTGGGAAGAAATGAAATGGGCGTATATACCGTGGACAGACCAATGTCCTACACAATGGGAAACGGACGACGTATTTGTGTGGCTGCTGAGTGTGTCACAAGAATATCTGGAACTCCTGATGGAGCAGCGACCGGTGGCACTGGTAATTTTTGGTTTCTTCTGCCCCCTCCTGCGTCGACTGGAGTGGATGTGGTGGATTGATGGGTGGGCGATTCATTTGTTGTCGCGAATCCACGGACTTCTGGACGAAGCACATCGCCCATGGATCCAGTGGCCGATGGAGCAGGTCGGCTGGTGTGTTTGACAAGGCAGACGCGTTACTTGGCCGATCATATCTTCATTTGTATGTGGCCTATTTCATCCTTCAAGGTCAAAAAAAGCTGTCAAGTGAAACAAAATAGTTGTTGCCTCGAAGGAACAAGCCAACCCGAACCCGAACCCGAACCCGAACCGCCTCTTCTTCTACCGTGTCGATCAATGCCCCCGTCCGACTGGTTGAACCAGGGCATTCCACTGCAAATTATGGAATAATTGTTGCTTTCGTTTCGTCCTGTGATATCAATGGCGGGACCATTGCGACACGATTGCAAGGCAGCGATCTTGCGGTATCGATAAAAAAAGCATATTCATGCCTCTGCACGAATCTCAAAAATCTATATAATCTGGGAGAGTCCCTGCATGAAGCTTGTCCTATTGTAAAAACGCTTCCATTCAATATCGCAGTATCTCATTACACATTGGCAATGTTCCAACTTACCAAGTTCTTGGCTCTGGCTCTGGCTGGGTTGGCTTTGGGTAGTGGAAATCTCACAGTCCCTGGTGTGTCATGCGCCTGTCAGCGGCTTTCTTCAAAAAATCCTCAACAATTGTTGTTCCCGTCATCCACGGAGTATCAAGAAGAGGCTGGTCATTACTGGGATGTCCGCTCCAAGCTAGACCCGACCTGCATCTTCGTCCCCAGAACCGGAGGTGAAGTGGCACGGGCGGTCCAATTAATTACCTCCCAATATGCATCACTGACGGGGCAGGACAGATTCCAGGATCGAACGACATCGACGATGGCGTTGTTATCGCTCTCTCTGCCTTGAACAAATACACGCTTCACAACGACACCATCGATGTTGGTCCAGGAATGACCTGGTACGACGTCTATTCCGCGCTCGAGGCTTCCGGCCGGATGGCAATTGGCGGTCGTCTTAAGACAATCGGCGTCCCGGGACTTACCTTGATCGGAGGCGTTCACTACTTCATCAACAAATACGGGTATGCCATGGACAATGTTGCTCGATATGAAGTGGTGCTGGGGAATGGGACGCAGGTGGTGGCATCGACTCAGTCTCATCCCGACCTGTTCTGGGCGTTGAAAGGCGGTGCCAACAACTTTGGGATTGTCACCAAGTTTACACTCCGGACCCATGAAATCCCGCAGATTAGCACCACGATCCAAGCATTTGACGAGTCGGGTATATACAACTACATCAAGGCAGCTTGCGACCTTGCCAAACTGGACGAGGCAGATCCCATTGCAGCTGGAGGAGTGTTCACGATCAGCTACAATACAACGACCAACATCACGTCTGCATCCGTTCTGGGGGTCCAAGAAGGTATCAGCAATCCCCCATCCCAATTCACGAACTTCACTGCCATCGCCGGACCTTCAAAGACCCACAATGTGACGACTGGAAAGCAATTCGCCTCGACTCTCAATACTCCGAATCAGATGTTCCGGTAAAGTTTGATAACTCCAGGGAATGTTTTGCCCTTTATGTATGAGGGACGGCCGCGGAGGAAGTGCCGATCACCACCAGGTGCCGCATACATGGAATCAAACCCTTGTTTGACCACTCCTCCTTGCACTGTTTTGGGGGCCAAGCTGCCAGGCGGATGGGCTAGGACGCGGTCTAGGCACCTCCACCACAACTAATAGTTTCTGATACCTACGGTCTTTGTTTGACCTAGGTGTTGCCTCCACCGATTAGTAGCTTCGCAAATTCTCCCCGGACACTTTAGTTTCTCCTACTTCTCCCAGTTTCTCTAGTTCCCGCTACCCCTCATAGTGTAAGAATATATGTGGGTACGCTATCAGATACATCTCATACTTCTCCTAGTTCTCCAATTTCTCCTACTTGTCTTTCATCCTTGTACGTTAGTTATGCATAACTACATTTAGTTATCAATGGTGGAATGTGTTGTTACGATGATTTAGGTCTTCAAAATACTGTGCTAACAAAATGATGAGTAGTGCGTCAAAGTGGATAGGAGCACTCCAAGGCCCACACAGCTATCATACTAACATGTAGAAGAGAAGTATCTGCTCGGTAGTAATCAGCTAAGCTATTCTAAAATTGTTCCTGTCTGTTGATGCTGCTAAGTCTTTGCATAAAGATACGAATTTTCTACGTCAACCAACGGATATGGTCATACGTGTTTAGAGCCCTTGTCTGAATAGCATGTTCTGATTACCTTCCTGCTTCTGTCTCTGACTCGCTCAATCAAATATACAGCTTTTTGCTTTTTGTCACAGCCATGGTCGGTACATACAGGCGTCTTCACTTTGAGGATACAGAAACTGGTGCCCTAAGCCCGCGATCATCTTCACCGAACACAAAACCTACTTTTCCGTGGATCCTGCACGCGCTTTTGTTTGGCATTTCAGTGACCACAGGATTTCTGGTTGCCTTGCTTCTGCTCCGTTACGGGTCTACTGATTCTTCCATCAATGCGCAGGAAGGTACGATATAGATGCCTATTATATGTTTAGAATGTTTTGATACTGACTTACGCTCCATGGTAAAGGCCCCAACGGGCCCAGTCGTCACCTACTAGATGTGCGATTTACTGGGACCTTCAATGTTAACAATTCATTCAAGGGGCCCCCGAACTTGGAGACAGCTGCCGCCTGGGGGGACATCTTGCGACGTTAGTATAATATCCATCCGTTTTTTCCGCCAGTTCCATTTATGACCGGAATCTCCGGTAGCAACAGCAAAGCTGATGATTGTTTATAGCTGGTGTCCTTGCCGTAGATAAGGATACATGGGAGCGCTCCAAGCCCCAGTACCCTGATTCTAGTGTCCAGATTCCAAGAATGGTAGGAGGTAGATCTGAAAGTAAATACATGGCAACACTGGAAGTTACCCACCAGTTGAATTGTCTTGTAAGTCAGGACTATACCTGTCCCAATCTATGACTAGAGGCCATGACAATAATCCATTGTCTTGCCTAGTGCTAATGATGTTCTAGCATAATCTGTTAAAGTTGAACTATTTGAACCATTTTGAGGATCTTCAAAAGAGTCGAGAGGATAACCTTGCGCACGAACAAGAACGCGTCGGTATGTGAAGTCTTGTCCCCTGCCACATAGATCCATATCCTAAGAGCCGACAGACCATTGCATTGACACCCTTCGCCAGAAGCTCATGTGGTAAGTCAAGTCTGAATGATAAAAGGTATCTGTCAGGCATATGCTAATATTCAAATGACTGCAGCGATGCAGACTCGAATCTTGTCACATACAACTGGGTTCAGCGTGTGAGATGGCCAGTGGCTAATTTTAATAGTCACCATCAGTGTCATGACTTCAAGGAAGTTATGGGCTGGGCTGAGGAACGTTCTTTTGCATCTACTCTAGACTTCGAGAAACCTAAAGACATAGTGGGGTTACAAGAATATCCATAACCATCGAGTTATCGAGATATAATGGGGGCGAAGCCACTTGTAAAGGCATTTGACTATAATAATTTAACGCACCTAAGCTTTGATTAGCCTTTTAATAAGAAAAATTGTTCAGTCGCCTGTAGGGTATATATCATAATGGAGTAAACGCTGTCAGTCGCACAATTATTGTAATAGTGCCTGTTGCGATGCCTGGTTCTGCTCGGTGGATACATGTTGTTCCCTGGGTGTGGTGACTTGAATTAGTAACCAATTTACATATATATAACTAGAGAACCTTACAAAGACTCATCTTATTGCAAGGCATACTCAAAACTAGACACTTGCTCTCAAGCATTACTTCGCTGTTTCACTTGTTCTTCCCAGTCCTTCTCCCATCTCTGCAGCGCTTCAAAGTCTCTACAGGTATGCACCAGTTGTGTGTTCGCGATGTACATTTTCTTCTTTTCAAACCAGACGTGTGGCACAGGCGTCATGTCCATATTACATTGAATTGTCTCTCTCAGGATCTCAATGCAGTGGTCTAGTCAGTTATTAGTGAGAAGGCATTTGACCAAGTAAAAGGTAAATATAAGTGTGCTGGGACGTAGGATAAGACAGACCGATATGAGTCCAGTAATTCGGAACCGTTTCCTTAACTTCGTGGATGGTCGGGTAGAACCTGGGATACAGGGCTTTTCTCAAGTAGTTCTGTTTCTACTGATCAGTGATCCATGTGCGATGCTGGATAGGATAAGGCATAGATCTGATATCAGGAAACTAACCACGCAATGAAGGCTGTGTTGGACATGAGGACTGGGAAAAATCAGTACATCGACCTTATCATTCGGGGTCCGTAATCTACATACACAACGAAAAAGTGGCCATTTTCTTTCGAAATTTCACCGTTGATCCGGGCAGCTTCCTGATCATTCAAGGCAACGTAGTTCCCTATGGTCCGAGCTTAGATACCACATGTGTTAGAAGCCTTAGGTATCTTACTGACCTACAAGTTCGTCCCATGCAGCATCCAACTCTCTAGTTGGATGGCCAGTATACTGGGGACCGTAGAGGTTCAGGTTAAGATCAAATTCTCCTGACTCATTAACGAGTATACCGCCGTAGAACTGCACTCTCTTCAAACTCATTGCTTTCCGAGAGGGTTCTGCGATTCCATTAGCAAAGACCCCCTATAAAGGCAAAATAAACGGCATACCGAGTTCGGTCTCGAAGCCCGTCTCATATGTATCAGAGGCCGGGGTCATTGCTTGATACAGAACAGAAGCGCAGAACAGAAGCGCAAAGAGACACGTTGATATTATCTGTCGGTTGACTTGGTCATTGCCCTAAGCAGATATCCTATCGATTCAACTGAATATAGGTATATGCTCGGTGGG